AACAAGAACAAGAACAAGAACAACAACAACAACAACAACAACAACAACAACAACAACAACAACAACAACAACCACAACCACAACCACAACCACAACCACAACCACAACCACAACCACAACCACAACCACAACCACAACCACAACCACAACCACACCCACAACCACAACCACAACCACAACCACAACCACAACCACAACCACAACCACAACCACAACCACAACAACAACAACAACAACAACAACAACCACAACCACAACCACAACCACAACCACAACCACAACCACAACCACAACAACAACAACAACAACAACAACAACAACAACAACAACAACAACAACAACAACAACAACAACAACAAGTTCCAGCGCTCAAAACCCATACCCCTCCCCCCACCCCCCTCCCTCCCAAAATTGGTTCCGCCACTCGAAACCCCATAGGCAAAGGACTCGATTTGTGACTCGGTGACTCGATTCGTGACTCGATTCGCCTGGATGCTCTCGAAGAAGAATTTCCGGGTTGACTTCCACAGGTCCGCCTGCGAAGAGGACTCGGGCTCGGACCCGAAATTTTCCATTGAAAAGGTGGCTATGGCAACCCAAACATATGGCTATGGCTATGGCTATGGCTATGCCAAGATACCCCCGTCAACTCAAAGTTTCCGACTTTTCGAGTATTCTAGGTCCTCCAGTAGAGAGGTTAACTAAGGGTAACCAGGGCACTACTTGGCCACCTATTGGGAAAATGTTGCTGTTGTCCAGGTGCATGCAACTCCTTGTTACAGGGTCGACCTCCTGCCAGAACAAAAAGTGGGCTTTGCGCAGGAGGTACTGTGGATAGACGGAATCCGTTCGCACCACTTTGAATCAATGGGAAACAATTATTTGTTGGTATTTACGGGGAATCATCATCCCAAGCTTTGCTGGGCAGTGCAGGATTTCGTCCATCCACAATATGGTTGGCGAATGCCAATGTTCAATGGTAGTTTGTGGGTTTCACAAACTACTTTTGGCTTGCAATACTAGGTCCTCCGGATTTGAGAGGTTAGAATCATAAGGGCACCCATTTTTTCTCTGTAGAATAATAAGGGCACCCATTTTTTCTCTGTAGAATAATAAGGGCACCCATTTTTTCTCTGTAGAATAATAAGGGCACCCATTTTTTCCCTGTAAAAAAAAGAGGGTCCCAACCATAAAAGGGTAAAAGGGCACCTAGCTGGGGGACCTAGGGCGATAGCAACCCCAAATCAAACTACCTAGGACCCCTCTGAATGGGACCCAGGGAGTAGTTGGGAGCATTTGGGTAGGGCTTGAAGTGGAAAACATCGTGCTTTCTGAAAACATCGTGCTTTCCCAAACAAAAGTCAGGTATCACATGCTCATTGGCTTCTGCGGCTCCTGGTGTGGGCTGAAATCCCATTCTTAAGTTGGTAGTTCTTTCGGGACCAGGCCCGAACAAGGACTCTGTTGAGAGCCTACCAAGTTCCTCGAGTCTCTTTCTGACCGGAAGCACAAATGGGTGGACCAAACAGCGCTACCTGGACCGAGCCTCAACATTCCATCTCAAAAACGGGATACCCCCAAAAAACAGAAAAAGGAAAGGATCCAATTTGGATGATGACCATCCGGCGAGTAGACAAATCTGCACCCAAGCATTGTTGCCTAGGTCCTCCAGTAGAGAGGTCCTCCCAACCAAAAAAGAAACGGGTGAAGAAGGGCACCAATTGTTATGGGACCTAGTTGCAATGGTGGCCGGCAACTGAAAACCAAAAAACTGGTGGGTGACATGGGTGTCCTTGTAGGTTGGAAATAGATGGGTATCCCTGGAAGATGAGAAAATACCACCAGGTAAACCGATTGGAATCGCCATCGATTTTTCGAGCAAAACAGCCAAAACACCTATGCCTGTGTTCTTTCCACTTTCTGAACCTTGACGACCTTAAGGTGAGGGTCTACCTGGAGTCTCATTCTCTTGAAAAATGACATCTACCAAAAAGGACACCTGCGGGTGACGTGTCCAACTTTTCGAGAAACGTCGTTCTTTCGGGTCCAGGTGCCCGCAGCCTGCGATGCGGAGTTTCAGGGGGTTGCTTTACTGTGGCTCAAAAAAGTGGTAAATAACCCGCGGTAACCCCAGCTTTGTAATTTTGAGCCATACCCATATTATGTTTTAAAGTTCATAGACTTTGGGGCACTGCCCCATGTTTTTGGGTTCCTAGATCCATTTTTTTTGCGGGGAATCTTGAGCGAAGGAATCCGACTGTCGCACCATGCGTCTCTTCAGATTCACCTCTTTAGCTCTGTAAGATGAAGGGCAATAGCTACAACCTGAACCCTCAAAACTCCAACTCAGAAATGGCGTTCGCCCCCAAATTTCAGGGGTGAATTTCCCCTTTTTAGGGGTAGTTTGAGGGCCGGGAAGCCAATGCCATTTTGAGGACTGGAAGTGGGTGGTTGGCTGTATGGCCGGGAGGGCGGGTTGATATTCGAGATTTCCTGGACCTAGGGCCGGTACAACCAGTTCTTGTTGGTGCCGTCCAACAAGAGTCGAGTTGATGAAACAAAACACTTTTTTTTTTAACGTTTGACGGGCAAAGGTTGTTTGGTGAACCACAAGAGTTGGTCGTTCAATTGCGGGCCCAGGGAGAAAGTAGATTTCAACAGCGGTTGCTTGAGCAAGCTCTTTGCTAGCCGTACCCGAGTGGGAGCAGGGTGGTTTTTTAACCTGAAGCTCTTTGTCCACGTGCATCAAACGTTCATGGACCATAGATGCCATAGACTGAAGATTTCTTGGACCAAACCTATAGTCCCTTTTCGATGATGTTACATGCCAAAGGATCCCACTCTTCTCAGGTTCTCAGTTGCGCTTGGTGAGGACCCCAAGTTCAGCCACCAAAACCTGCACCAAAATCGATCCCTTTGGAAGGTCCTGTCTGCCCCCAGCACCCACAGCACCCATGGCCTTTTGGGAAAATCGATGGCCCTGGTAAATGGAACAAAACCCAAACCAGTGGGACCCATCTATGTTTAACCAGGCTCACCTAAAAAGGACATGGCACCCACTCTTTTCATGATAGCGTACGATGGCTGGTCCCTGGCTAAAAAAGCGATCCGTATTCACATTGAAAAACCGATCGATTTTCCACATAACCCCTTAATAAAACGTAGGGGGTGGTTTGTCGATGATCAGGTCAATGACACGCTAGCTAGGGCACCCTAAGGTACCACATCCCCGAACCTGCTGCTTTATGGTACGCTTTTGGAGACTTGGGTTTCCGGCGGGGTAAATATATAATTACTCTCTATATATATATATATATATAGGTTTTTACATGGAATCATCGGGCTACCTTTTGATGAGTTGGGCTAACTTGCCCTGCTGGAAACTCGGTTTGCTGAAGGTGCTGCAGAAAAGAAGACAACAACGACCACGTCTCAAAACATGCCAATTTCACATGAACCGTTGAATGGGCGTGCCCCACACTCTTGGGAACACGCACCACCCAACTTCAGGCCACTTTGGGGGAGTACCACTCCAGTGTTGACCCCGCAACCGTTGAATGAGGTCCAAAACCAGAACCTACAGCATTAAAACCATGGGGGACCCACCCAAAAATCAAACCCCGGCCCCCATTGATCGGGTCGAGACTTCGAGACTCCAGGTACCTCCTACTCCAAATACCCACGAGTTTCAAGCGTTGTTTTGCGGAAAACCTTGCTTTCCAGGGAAACGCCGATCCCATGTTTAATCAAGGGTTCACATCATCATCCCCTACTGTGGACGGACGAAATCCTGCACCACCGAAGGGCCCTGGTTTCTGATGGTTCCCCTGAAAATACCAACAAGCAATGGCTTGAACCATGGTTTCAAAGTGGTGCGAATGGATTTCGTCCATCCACAGTTCCAAGGCAACACTCCCCTATCATAATGTTGACCCCGGACTAATAAACCCCTGTTTATTAATATGGGGGTGTCCCTGGTTTTAGTGAGGATTTATCACTTTTGGAGGGGAACACCCCGATTTTTAATAAACAGCCTGGATCGCCAGCTACGATCGTTTTCTTTCCCATCCACTTTACCCCAAAAACCGATCGCAACAGTGACTGAAAAAAACGATCGCAACTTGGCTATCTAGGAGGGGGTTATTGATCTGGGGTCAACATTACCAAGGTAACACATCGCTCGCAGCTGCTTCGTGGCGTTCGGCGGAACCTGGCGAAACGGCGTTCGCTGCTCCGGCCTTCTCGCCCAGCGTGCCGCCGCTCTGCCACCCCCCCTGGCCACGGCCGAGGTCTTGGGAGGCCGAGTTTTTTCCGGAAGCGAAAAAACGTTGAAGCGTGAGGCGCCAGTCTACCTAGTTTGCCAAGTTCCAATCGCTTTGTTCAGTCACTGTTGCGATCGGTTTTTGAGGGGTAAACTGGTTTGCAAAAAGCTGCAACTGGCGATTTGTTTGAGAAAGGAAAAAGTCACTGGCTAAGTGGATGGCCCGAAAAAAGTAACCGCACTTTGGAGATTTACCACTAAAATGGTCCAAACCCAAAAAGTCTTTAAAGTTCATGAACTCAGAAGTGAGAAAAGCGAACATGTGAGGCTCCAGTCTACCCTCAAAACTCCAAGACTTGACTATGGGATAAATGTAATAATCTCCCTTTTTTTTGTCCGATAAAATTGTGGGAGGTGGGATGGGTAGGATGCCCGCTTTCAGTGAGAGTGAGTGTCCTTCCCTTTGACCTCCCGACCCGATCGGACGGCAGACATGTTTGGCTCCGTATCTCGAGAGTCCTGGAAAATGAGATCCACGAGCGTTTCGTGGGCAAAATGGAAACTCCCACGAAACAATAAAAGGCTGACAAGCTAAGGAACCGGATGGCTGGGAGCCACCAAGTTTTGAGGGGCCGTTCGATGCTGAATTCGGCTGTTGAACAAAACAACAAAGGAGAACCAACAAGGCAAGAATCGAAAGCACAAAACCAACCGTTGGGCTGGCCTGACAATGCAAAGCGCGAAAGGAAGCCAGCGTACGACAACCCAACTGAGAAACCCTACTCAGAGACAAGCAAGACCATTCAAAAACAACAACGCCATGTTTGCGAGCCCCAAAAAAAGTTTAAAACGGATTCAAGGCGTTTCCTTTTGGACTGCAACAGGCGTTTCCGGTCGTATTGGAGGACAACCCCAAAACATCCCTTATTGCGGGGCCCTTGATCCACAATCTTGGGCCCTCAATTAAGGCCTTTTTTGAGGCCGAACACCTAAAATGAAGCTCCCGACCCCTTCAATGAATGGGATCGGCTCGGAAATCTGATGCTTAGGCTAGGGAATTCAGCGTTGGCACACCCTGCTTTGGGGGGTCCGCATCGAATCCTGGACCCTCAAACTCCCCTTTCAATTCGGGTCTTTTTTGGTGCAATATAGCCCCTAGGTCCTCCAGATTTGAGAGGTTAGAAGAAGGGTACCCGATCTTTCCCCAGATAGCTGAAAGCTATAGGGGTTCTAACTTCTAATAAAGAAGGAAAAGTGATTTGCGAGATTGAGGGCCGGGTGCTAGGGGGCATGCAGTTTGGGGTGCTGGTGGAGGTGCTGCTTTGCGAGCTTGACGGACGGGTGCCAGGGGGCATGCAGCTTGGGGTGCTAGTAGTGGAGGTGCTGTTTTGTGAGAGTGATGGTCGGGTGCTAGGGGGCATGCAGTTTGGGGTGTTGGTGGAGGTGCTGTTTTGCGAGATTGACGGCCGGGTGGCATGCAGTTTGGGGTGCTGGCGGAGGTGCTGTTTTGCGAGAGTGATGGCCGGGCGCTAGGGGGCATGCAGTTTGGGGTGTTGGTGGAGGTGCTGTTTTGCGAGAGTGATGGCAGGGTGCTAGGGGGCATGCAGTTTGGGGTGCTGGTGGAGGTGCTGTTTTGCGAGCTTGACGGCCGGGTGCTAGGGGGCATGCAGTTTGGGGTGTTGGTGGAGGTGCTGTTTTGCGAGAGTGATGGCCGGGTGCTAGGGGGCATGCAGTTTGGGGTGTTGGTGGAGGTGCTGTTTTGCGAGAGTGATGGCCGGGTGCTAGGGGGCATGCTGCTAGTGGAGGTGCTGTTTTGCGAGAGTGATGGCCGGGTGCTAGGGGGCAGGCAGTTTGGGGTGTTGGTGGAGGTGCTGTTTTGCATGGCCGGGTGCTAGGGGGCATGCAGTTTGGGGTGCTAGTGGAGGTGCTGTTCTGCGACAGTGATGGTGGAGGTGCTGATTGACGGCCGGGTGCCAGGTGTGACGTGCTGGTGAAGGTGCTTTGCGAGATTGATGGCCGAGCGCTACGGGGCATGCAGTGGGTGCTGGTGGAGGTGTTGCTTTGCGAGAGTGATGGCCGGGTGCTAGGGGGCATGCAGTTTGGGGTGCTAGTGGAGGTGCTGTTTTGCGAGAGTTGGCCGGGCGCTAAAGGCATTCAGTTTCGGGTGTTGGTGGAGGTGCTGTTTTGCGAGAGTGTTTGCCTGTTTTGCGAGAGTGATGGCCGGGTGCTAGGGGGCATGCAGTTTCGGGTGTTGGTGGAGGTGCTGTTTGCGAGATTGACGGCCGGGTGCCAGATGTAGTTCGGGGTGCTGGTGCTGTTTTTCGAGCTTGACGCAGTTTTGGGTGGTGGTGCAACTGCTGTGTTGGGTTGCCGGGGTTCTAACTTCTGAAGAAGTGGGATTGTTTTGCAAGATCGACGGTTGGGAGCTAGGGGGCATGCACTTTGGGGTGCTGGCGCAGGTACAGTTTTGAGGTGCTGTTCGGGCTGGTGACAGTACGTGACGGCAAGGTGCTCGGTGCTCGGGGACCTGTCCAATGCTGGTGCGGGTGCTGCGTTGGGGTGCTGTTGGGGCTGCTGTCTTGAGGTGTTGGTGACGGTGTGGGCGCATATGGACGGCAGGGTGCTAGGGCGGGTGCTGTTTCATGATGCCGTTGAACCGGTTCGGACGTTGTTGCTGCTCTAGTAGTCTAACAGTCGTTTGTCATGGTGCGTGGTTCGTGGCTGGTGTGTCATCATGATGTTGTCACCCGCGTCATGATGCTGCTGTCACTGCGATGCTGCGATGCTGCGTTATGGTTCGTGGGTGTGGTGGCGCCATGATTGCTGCCAACATCAGGATGATGCTGAATTTCACTACGCTGTCGCGAGAAGATTCGTGGCTGTGGTATCATCATGATGCTGCCTTTTCAATTTTACCATTACCATGATGCTGTTCGCATCACCATGATCGTGATGCTGTCCGCATCATCATGATGCTGTCGAACTCATCAGGACGTCGTCTCTGCCTTTTTTCTGCTAGATATGTGGCGCGGAATCGTTCGTTGCTGGTGCATCAGCATGATGCTGAGTGGCTGTGGTATCATCATGATGCTTTCAACATCATCATGATGCTGTCAACATCATCATGATGCCTCGGGAACCATTATGATGCTGCATAATGGTTCGTAGCCGTGATGTGCTATCTGGGGTCTACGCTGGTGTATTTTTTTTCTGCAGTCTATGTGAAACAATTAGTAGGTTCCGGAGCCCTCCCCGCAAAAAAAGAAGCGGGAAAAGAAAAGGCATCTCTAGCTGAAAAAAAAGCCTTGGCCCGTGTTTCAGGGCTTCGTGTCTTCAAAGTCCGTGGCTCAGTTTCTGGACCTCCTGCGTCGAAAGGGGCCACAAGATGGGCCGAAAGCATGGCCGAAAGTTGGTTCGCCCCATCGATTTTTTGGACCGCAAGACCTAAAACGAGCTGACTGCTTGGGCGACAATTTTTTTTCAAGCTCGTGTGAAAGGTTAACTGAGGAAACCTGGTACCCCAGAGAACCCGACCAATTCCTCCTGGGCCCGAAAGAAAACAACCCATGTTGAGGATTTGCCCAAAATCCATCAGGACCCTTGGGGCTATTCTGTTTATTCCTAGATAGCCAAGTGGCGATCGCTTTTTTCAGTCACCGTTGCGATCGGTTTTGGGGGTTTTGCGTGCATGGAAAAAGAACGATCGCACCTGGCGATCCAGGTACCCACTTTTTCTAGGGCATTGCTTGGATTTTGTTGGTTTTCAAGGTAAATGCCTCCTGTTGTAGTAGAGGGTCGACATGATACCCCTTTAAACAAATGGGTATCTGGAGTCGGGGGTATTTATGGTTTTTTCGGGGGCGGGGGGGAAGGGGGGTTGGACGATTTCGCCAAGCCGCGTCTCTCAAGCTGAGACAAATGCGGGGGACTTCCGTTGCGCTGGTGCTGTCGGCGTCGTGCGTGTACCTGAAAGTGGAAATGCGAATCGAACCAGAAGAGCATTTTCCTCAAGGTCCGGATGGATGGCTTGGACTCCAAAACCACCTGAACCCTCAAAATCCAACTGAACGGGTTCTTGCCCCCAAAAAAACGATTGGTGAATTCCAACGGTTTATTTTGGTAGATTTAGGCTCCAACACCACTGGATCGCCAGTTGCTGTGTTTTCCATGCGCTTTGCCCCAAAAACCAGCCACAGCGACTGAAAAACGCCATCGCAACTTGGCGGTCGGCTGTTTCATGGCCTTGTCATGGATTCCCAGGGTCTTTGGCCTTCCGTTCAGCCTTTCCACTGGTTTATTGGTCATTTGAGGCTCCAACACCACCTAGATAATCGCCAAGTGCTGGTTTTTGGGGTTTTGAGTGCATGGAGAAAAAAACCACTCGCAGTTTTTAGAGCAACTCGGGGTCTGGGATTCCCTCCGGTTCTGCAAATCCGCGAGGCCCCAGGCCGGAGCTTGGAACCCGCCGGTCGGACCCGCAAGAACCCATCAACAAGGCGTTTTTTCCATGCATTCAAAACCCCAACAACCGATCGCAACGGTGACTGAAGGAAAACACGATCGCAACTTGGCTATCCAGGTACCAAGAAACCAGCGGAACGTGCTGAATGGAAAAGCCAAACACCCCAGGAATCCATGACAAGGCCATGAAACAGCTTACCTAGATTGCCAAGTTGCCATCGTTTTTTTCAGTCGCTGTTGCGATCGGTTTTTGGGCGGTTAACCCCACTTAAGCAGGCTTGTAAGTGGGCTGTAGCCCAGGTTACCCACAACTTTCTAACTTGGCCGAGAACATCCCAATACCCATTTATTAAGTGAACATGAGGCTTCAAGCGGCCATTTGTGGTGCTTTCAGGGTGACCTCCTCCAATACACCTGGGCCCTCCGATGGCGATCAATTCTTCAGAGGTCTCAAAAAGGAGGGCCCAAATGCAGTCGAACCGGACCCTCAAAGTGTGTTAAACATTGGGTTTTCCAAAGAAAATGCAACTCCTCCAGTCAAGGATTCACTTCATACCCTGAACAAGGTGGGTCAGTGGAGTAAAACGAAAAAGAAGCCAAGCCAACCAGACCCTTCGAGAAGGGTCACCCGTCTAACCTTGCTTGGAGTTGAGTGGCTGGCCCAAAAAAAAAAGAACCACGCCTTTTGGGATGCCACTCAAATGGTCCAGACCCAAGTGACTAGAGCTCAGGGGGAAATGAGAAAGAAAGGCTACCCGCATTTTGAGGGTATGTCAACCCCTGACCAAGAAAGGGATCGGTAGTTACCCTGTCAAATTCAGGCTCTTCCGCTGAAATTTACCAACAACACAAATGTTGGCTTTTGGAGATTGGGGCATCTTCTTTTAGGGGAGCCATCAACATGGCTTCGGTTTTCCTGTTGGGTTCCCTTGAAAAAACAACAACGAACCGCAACGAACATGGGGCACCCTCAAGGAAAACACGTGTGCGTGGGTGTGTTGCCAGCACCCCCTCCTCCACCGAACTGCCTGTTCCCGACGCACAATCCATCCTCCCGCAACTGGTTCTGATCCGATCCCAGCTCAGCTTGCCCTGCTCCCGGAACCTTCATCCTTCGCATCCTCGCGTCCTCTTCCTTCTTTCCTTCTATACCTTCATCTTCACCATCTTCTCGATCAACAACTGCACGATGCTTTCTCCCAGGCCTGCTCCTTGTGGTTCTGCGGCATCACACTGAGCTCACCGTTGAACTGGTGGTTGAACACCGCGTTGCCAACTTCCACACCTTTGTCTGGCAGAGCCCCGATCTTGCCCTGAAAACCAGGAGGAATGCTCATCATCATCCCAGTTCCCACCAGCGCATGGCTCCCCGCGGCCACCACCACCTCTTCGTTCGCGAAGGCCTCGTAACCGGCCATCCCTTCTCCCAAAGCAGACGGCAAGACCGCACCCTCCTTGACCTTCTTGAACCTTCTTCCATTTCCAAAAGCTGTAGCCCACCTTCTTGATCAACCACTCTGGTTCGCTCACCATCCACACCGGCCGCATCTTTCCGGGGCAACCTCTGAGTCCTCTCCGGCAATTCCGCCCATGATTCCCAGACCCTTGGCGGCCTATGCTCGTGAAGCACGGTGGCCGTGTCCTTTCCCACCTCCTCTTCCTGCGCCGTCCGGGCCGAGGAGGCAGAAGACGGCTCCATGGCTTCCTAAGCCTGCGTTGGGCTCATAACCTTCAGATTCGAAGGCAGCCAACAGTTCCTTTTCCTATTGGCTTGATGTCTCAAAAAAGGGCTTCAGATGCGCCCAACGTTCAAACGGCATCCTACTTCAAGGATTCAAGGGTTTTAATGTTAACCCCAGAGAGTCTCTTGCTGTCTTTCTTTCTTTCTTTCTTTCTTTCTTTCTTTCTTTCTTTCTTTCTTTCTTTCTTTCTCTCTCTCTCTCTATCCCCGTCCAAGACTGTATCCTTTTCTCGCCAAGTGGCTCATTGGCGAGCACCCCGCCTCACGCAAAACCGAGCCACCGATCCAGCCATCCCACGAAAATCCGAAAATCCCAAGGGCCAAAACTTGGTCGGAGGCGGGTAATGACCTGGACCCGAAAGACCGACCAACAAAAAAAAACGCAAGCATGGGGCGAGTTGCCTGCCCCGAAATGATGGTTGTACCTAAACCAAAACAAAATCCAACTTAACAATGGGTTAGAGCCCCCAAAATGATGGTTGGTGAAGATCCAAATTTGAAGGGCCCGTGTTTTGTGGGTACCCAAGCAGACTACCCTGCGAAATGAGCTAATTTGCCACACACAGTTGGCTTGTCGCTTTGAGTTCTCCAGTGGAGGGCCCAGGGCTGTGCAGCGAAGGGCTCATGACCGTTCAAGATGCACAATTCCTTACCTCAAAACAATCGCCCCACCCACCCAACCCCACCCACCCAACCCCACCCACCCAACCCCACTCCACCTTAATTACCCCACTCACGCCGACCCAAGCATTCCCGTCCCCGGCCCTTGTCTTACTTTCTGAGTGGAGTGAGACAAACTGCACCTGCAGTCTCCACCCTTCCAACATGAGGCAATGACCCGAATCCTACTTTGGGTGACCTCATGCTTTAAGAGTCTAGCCAAGTTGCGATGAGTTTTTTTCAATGACTGTTGTTTTCTTTGGGGTAAAGTGCATGAAACCAGAAAACGATGGCCACTCATCCAGGTCCTGGCGATTCCTTTCAGTATTTGGTTGCTATATCCCATTAGCCGGACCCTCAAACTGGACTTCACCCACCATGGGGTGCAATTTAACCCATTCAGTTGTTGAATTTTGAGGGTGCTGGCAACAATATCCATTCCAACAAAAGGAAGCAAGCCCTCCACGACTTTATTGGTATGATAGCAGACAACCGTTTTTTGCAGCCACCCCAGTAGAAATGAACAGCCCTAAGGGTCAGGATCCTTTCAATGCAGATCCCCGGACCCTGCAATGGAGAACCCCGGCCAATTCCTGAAGGGCCCTGAGAAACAACCCATGGGGACCCAAAATCAATCGCGACCCTTAGAGTCTGACCAGCCATTTTTCTTTCGGGTCAGAAGGAGACTCCATGGAGTCAACCCATCCAAAAAATGCGCCAACGGCGTCCGCTTCCGGCGCCCGCCCGCCGGCGTCGCTTCCGCTTCCTGCGCCCGTGGGGGCCCGATTTACTTTTTTCTTGCGAGTGCGCGCTGAGGCGCCGAGGACCGTGCAGTCCATCTTGCTGCCGAGCTTTTTCTTGCACTGCCCCTTTTTGGTCTGGCCGGAGAACCGGAAGAAAAAAAAACACGCGGAGGGAGGCTCTCATGGGGGCTGGGGGAGGGAGGGAGCCCCAATAAGCCCCAAACAAGGCCGAATGAGGGGCATTTGGGCTCCCCTCCCCTCAGCCCCTATGAGGCTAAAAAATTGAGGACCTAGGTCCTCCAGTAGAGAGGTTCGACTTCGCGGTATCAACTTGTTGGGGGAACCCTCCCCCACAAAACGATGATTAAAAGTGCACTACTGGGGGAGCTAGGAACAGTACCTTGCAATCTCCTTCTGACCCTTAAAGAAAAGGGGTCGTTGTGGGGGTGGTAGATAAGTAGATTCCAACTCCTCAAAACCAACCAGATGACGACCTGTTACGTGCGGCAAATGGAAGAGGGTCAGGCACTATTTGGGGGGAGGGCCAAAAAGGAGCAGGTCCCAGACTACATAAAGGTGAAATCATCCTAATTACAAGGTCGGATGCTTTCGATCTGCACGGTCTCAAGTGTTGACATGGTCAATCAACTTCCCTTTGCTTTCTCGCCCCCTGGAAAAAATGAGAACATATTTCCAGTAGTGAAATCGATGCTCTAATAGACCCTCAAACTACCCCGCCAAAAAGATGTTTCTATTCGCCAATTCCATACTGTTGGGTGGCAATTTCACAGAAAAGAAAAAAACACATCAGCTCAGCAAATGGAAGTCAACATTCCGATGGCACTGGGCAAACAAACAGGATCGGTCCGAACCCTTCCACTGCTTCAATGGGATCAGCTCCGAGATCTGATGCTTCGGGCAACTTTCCCCCATGGAAGAAAAAACACTTTCGTCGTTTCCTCCTGTCATCCCATGCTCATCGGACCTTCGGCCGACTTTCCGATCCTCAAATCGGGAAAAATGAATCAGATTAACCTGAAGGGTGCTTCATCTGATCTGCGATTCTCCTTTCATCTGTTTGCCCTCAGATCAGATGAATCACCCGATCCCATTGAAGGAGTCGCACCGAATCGATGCCATTGATTTTGGCCCTTGGGGGCCAAGATGCGAGTGAGGGTGGTTTGGGGGTTTACCCTCGACCAAATCCAGGGCTTCAAATCCATAGCCATAGCCACCAGCCTCCGAACCACCAGTACTGGTTTACCTCAGGGAGGTTTGTTACGGGTCTGCTTCCCACAGTCTACCGGTCAATCAGGCCCTAAATCCACCGAGATTGAAGTCTCTAAGAACCATCGATTGTTGCATCTCACCCCATTAAGTTGGAAGTTAGGTCCAGGCACCAACCAGCATTCCAGTTCCATGGAATCAAGCCCAGTCGCATTGGAGCCTCTGGGTTGCTTGAAATTGCGAACAGCGACTCGCCGCTGACTCCAAAACTGTCTGGTTTTCAGGGAATGAGAAATGGAATAACCTAATTATAAACCATCCAACCGGCTGGTGGTTTCCTTTCTTCGGGAATCCCAAAACGGCTCGGCTCATTCCATGTCTTTCCCGACCGATTTCGCCACCCGATCCCAGGCAAATGGAAGAAACGAGCCGCCCTAAGGCGCCCTAAGGGGTCTCGATTGATTTTGGGCCCTCAAAATGGGAGTTTGTGTCGGGGTTCTGCACTGGAGGGCCCCGGGGTGTGGAGGGGTCATGACCCTTATGGCGACCCCCAAACCTCCCCGAGCCCAGGCCGACGCCAACACGGCGCCTTGATGCAGATATCCCAGAGCCGCTCTGCCCAGGAATAGTCGTCCTCCAAACCTTTGCCGCCTTGGATCCGTCTCAAGTTGCTTTCCCCCGAAAAGTCCCACCTGGCTGCGGTTGTCAAAACCAATGGGGGATCCATGTTGGAAATGGTAGGTGCATTCACCACCCATTTTAGTCTATAATAGTAGGGATTGGGATGTTCACCGGGGGTACTGGTTTTTGACTCATGGCCAAATTCCCACCTGGACCCACCAAGTTCTGACCAAGATCGCCAAGTTGCGATCGCTTTTTTCAGTCACCGTGGCGATCGGTTTTGGGGGTTTGAGTGCATGGGGAAAAAAAACAGCAACTGGCGATCCAGGCGCTTGAAAATAGAGTTAGTGCCCGAAAATGATGGGGTGAGTTCCCTTTGTTATGGATATTATGGATAGTTTGCCGGTCCAGGCGTTTTTTTAGGCGGTTTTTAGGGCTGTCGAGGGTAAATACAACTCCCTTTTGAGTGAAGGGCTGACATCCCCTGAACAGGGGTTGTAGCTACAGCGAAGGCCTGCAAAACCTGCTTGTGACCTGGCCTTGCGTGCTAGGTGCGGAAAGCGAGTGCAGGGATTTAGACCGTGTATTTGGAGTAGGGGGGCAATGGGCCCGATGCAGACCGCACTTGGGATACTTTGTGAGGTGCGAATGTTTCCAATGCATAGGAACTCCAGTCTGGTCACGCGACCATACCCAATGCCAGTTCACCACGGAGTCTCCAAATTTGACCCGAATCGAACAAATAAGACTCGGGTTATGTGATGAATCCCACCTGGACCCTCAATTTACACATAAAAGGGAATTTGCACCACAATTTGGGGGGTATGTTGATGTTGAGGGTCCAGGTGCTTCGATCGCGTCAAAAAAAGGCAGCCAAAGCTCGCCCGAGGGGAGACGCCAACCCTCGAACTGCACCAAACCACCAACCGAAGGGGATGAGCCTCACGTGAGGGTACACCCCCCTACTCCAAATACCCGGGCTTTTTTTAGGGTATGTTGCTAACCCTCTGCCAAAAAAGGAGGTGACTCCATGGAAACCCAGGTTTTGAAGAAAAAAAACTGAAAAACCAGTGGGTATTTGGAGTAGGTGGTAAGAAAAGCCCAACTCGTACCTTCCATTTCCTTTTTAGAAAGCCCTGGAAACCAATGAGCAAATATGTTCACTGATAGATCCCAACCTCAATATCCAAAAGGGAAATCAACACTATTCTGAAGTGGCAGTTACCCCTCAAAAACGAATGGGTTGTCCTCAAATGGAGGAAATTATTGCAGTGAGCCTGAGCTGGGAGTTTCCAAACTGACTCAGTCTGGCCAAGTAAGAAATGTTTGTATCGGACCCAAAGCCAGTTGGGTAGTGTTTCTTTGTTGGTGCTCGGGGCCGAGCTTGTCAATTCCAAGTCAATCGTTTGTCTGACACAGATGCAGATGATGTAGAAGAAGCAGATGATGTGGAAGAAGGTTGTGCCGCCAAAGCGTGATAACATGTTTGATTTCCAGGGATCCCCTTTGTCGTGGCTCTGAATCAGCATTTGAGCAGTGCTTTGTTTGGTGGTTCGTTGTTACCACATTTAAACAAATCATGGCCAAATGTATAATGTGGCTCTTGCTTCGCGCACTCTTGCTTGAGTCTGTGAGCTGGGGGGGCCTGATTGGAAGCCCTTGTGTGGAGAAAAACCGATGCAACTGCAACCCCATCTGCTACAACCCTATAGGCACTCTTCCGATTCCAGGTGCCTACCTACGCGGGCAAACGTTGAGTTCAAGTGTCGAAGTGCACTGCGGCAGCTCCAGCTGGAAAATCGCAACTTTTCAGTACAAGTGCAGTTTTGGCAGCTCCGGCTCTAAGATCAGAAATGCAGTACACGTGAGAATCCAACATCTGTCCAAGGATCTGGCTGCTAGAAAAGGTCTACGCACCCAAAATGCCTTGAAAGCCTACGCGAATGCCTACGCGGGGCCGACGCGGAGCCTACGCGAAGACTGCAGAACAAACAGAAGGAAGGCAAAAGAAGCAAATTCCTTCATACGTGGCAAACAGTCATGATTTGATCAATAAACGCCTACGCGAAAAGCCTACGCGAGGCGTGACACAACAGCCTACGCGCTGAAGCCTACGCGAGCCTACGCCCCCAACCAGGATTGCCTCCGCAAAGTACATGCAGTTCCCTTTTTGTATAAACTCTTTCATTTGATTAAAAAACGATGGTCATTTGAACAGTGGACAGCCGCCATTATATGGGCGTTCGTTGTACTGGGGGACCCTTTTGATGGACATATCTGGGGGGGATTCATGTCCGCCAACCGCTTTGACAGTTCTTAGCCATATTGGTTCAAGAACCCTTTTCTCAGTGTGTCTGCAACAACTCAGCCAAACCCATGCCCATCAATTATGCATTGTAAACATAAAGCTTCAGACAATACATAATAACTCCATCAAGTGCCTACGCGCGCGCCTACGCAAGAAAAAATACAAGGATGTGCGCAAAATGCCTACGCGATGCCTCCGCGCGCCTACGCCCCCCAGCTAAATTGCCTATGCGGACATGATGCAGTTCCCTTTTTGTATAAATCCTTGATTCCAAGAAAGAAAACGCTGCCCAGTTGGGCTTGTCTTTTTTGGAGGGTACCTGGACCCTCAAAATTCCAACTTTGACATTGGTTGTAGCCAACATTATGGGGTGGTACCCCTTGGTTTGTTGGTTCAAAAGACCCTTTCAAAATGGCTGTGACTCCAAAAACTCGTACCAAAATGCACCTTGGTAAATGGAACCGAAGACTACAGCCTGCGTAAGCCTAGCTCTTGAATTTTGAGCCACACCCAAATGGGCCCGGGCAATGACCCCATCCGCCGTTGCATTGAAACCCGACCGGAAAAAAAAAAAAAAAAACGAAAGCCCCACGCATCCTAAGCATCTTGCGCCGTGAAACATGGCCCCTTTTGGAGGAAAGCTGGCTCAGTATCAGCTCAGTGACCCTGGAAAAAAAGGGAACCCTTTTTGGGGAAGACCATTTTTAGTGGGGCAGCCGCCAACAAAAAAAGGGCCAGCATATTTTTAGTGCCCTCCGGAGGGCGCTTGGCCTGTTTTTGAATCGAGGGCACTTAAGGCAGTGTCGGTGGCCTAAGTGCCCCTTATGTTCAAAATGGATCCTAGCACCCAAAAAAGAATCGAGGGCACTGAAAAGAAGGTGGGGAAAAAGAATTGGTACCACTGAACAACTGAGCTGGAGATCCGTTTCGAGCCCTGGCCCCAAGCATCTTGGGCCGTCCACCAGGGCCCCTTTTTGCGGCTCCAAACTACCTGGATCGCCAGTTGCGATCGCTTTTTCTTTTTTCCATGCACTCGAAACCCCAAACACCGATCGCAACAGTGACTGAAAAAAAAGGCGATCTTGCAACTTGGCTATCCAGGCAAAGCCAATGGAGGTCCTAACTTTTTCAGTGGGATCGGTTCCGTAATCTGAGGACCCAAAGGCTCCAAGCTTTCAATGGACCGTTTCGGTGTTTCGCGCGACCTGGCTGTTGGGCCCCTTTAATCGGCCATCGAATGGGAGCCGCTGGGTAAAATAAGACACCCAACTTGAGAATCCTTTCAAGGAGTCGTCAGCAGAAATCGTCCGAAACCCCCGAAGGAAGCCAAAAGAAAGCCACCCCAGTGCTTCCACTTTCCACTGTAGCCCCTTTAACTAAAAAAAAAGAAACAGTGGCTGGAAAAGAAAACAGCAACTTGGCTATCCAGTGGATTTTTCCGGTTACTATGGCGAAGCGCCTGGAACAGGTCATCCTTTGTAATTCAGCCGGAGCCGCTGAAGGGATTGGTCTCTGTGCGCCTAGGGCTGATGGTCGCCAATGGTCCTGGCGTGAAGCAGTACCAAGGGCAACCCGAAAAGGAGGGAAACGGACACCCGGTGAGGGGCCACCTGTAAGGGGCAGTGAAAACCGATCTTTTCTTTTGAGAGCTTGAAGAAACTTGGATGTCCAGCCTACTTACCTAGATAGCCAAGTTGCTGTTTCTTTCAGTCACTGTTGTTGGTTTTTGGGGTTTTGAGTGCATGGGAAAAAAAGATCGCACCTGGCTATCCAGGTAGGAGGATATAACTTGCAAGAACGGCTATGAGTCGCCTAACCCCAGTTACCCAGGCATAACCTTCCCCCTTCTCCAAATACCCTCTTTTTTTAGGGTATCATGTTGACCCTCTACTAAAAAAGATGTATTTACCATGAAACTCAGGTTTTTCCAAAATACCCGAAAAAATGCGGGTATTTGGAGTAGGGGGTTGAAGTTCTAGCCTTCGAGCGACCCACCGGAAGCTACGTTCGATGGCTTCCACTCCCAAACCAGTCCCCCCAAGGGGAAGAACGAGGCATACGGCTGTACAAACACCATAGAAACGGTGTGGCCTTTTGGGAAAATCGATGGCCCTGGTAAATGGAACAAAACCCATCGAAACCAGTGCCATCTACTTTGAACCAGGCTCACCTAAAAAGGGCACCTATTGGTATGTTGTGTGTACCATGTGTTCTTCGGGGGAAGTTTCTAGGTGGCAAAAGGTACCTTCGCAAAGAAAAACGCTGCTTGCCAGTTGGCAGGAACACCTGGAAGCACCACACTCCCTTAACAATTGATTCTTGCAACCCAAAATCATGTTCCGTCAGTTCGCCCTGTTTTTGGAGGGTAGTTTGGCAACACACGTTTCCCCAACAAGCTAAAGGTGAAAAATCCAACCCACCAGCAGCTGAGGCTTGGCGCCCCTATTTGGGGGAATGCTAAAAAGGGACACATCCAGCCTATTAATCAACTAGGTCCTCCAGTAGAGAGGTTAGACTAAGGGGTACCAACTTTTTCTGTAGTCTATTTTACTAGGAGAACCCTCCCCCAAAAAAGAAACGGTAAAAGGGCACTACTGGGGTCAACCAGGGGTACCAACAAATCCGATCTAGATCCCACCAACCAAGCTACCGGGACCCTCCAAATCGCCCCAAATATGTTGCTTGTTTTTTGCTCCAAAAATATTGCGTGGGCCAACTCCCATTTTTTCCTGGCACTTGCGGGGCAACGCTGGGTGGGCGTTCGATCAGCCTAGATCGCCAAGTTGCTTTTTCGTTTTTTTTGTTTTTCCAGTCACTGCTGCGATCGGTTTTTGGGGTTTTGAGTGCATGGAAAAAAAGCGAAAACGCACCTGGCGATCCAGGAGTCTTCTTTCAACACAGCTTCGAGGGTTGAGCCGCGAGAACTCCGGAGAGGAAACATAAAGGCTTGTCACAGGGCAAGCTACCTCCAGTAGAGAGGTTAGACTAAGGGGTACCTTTTTTTTTTCTCTTTTCTGTGGTCCATTTTAGTAGGGGAATACAAAAATGGTTTTGGCCCCAGAATCCGCGGTGAATCCCCACTTTCAGGTGGAGGGTTCAAGCATAGATGCTGGGCTAAACCACCCACTTGCGCGGTGTGCGGACTTTTCGTCCATTCACTGGTACTAGGTCCTCCAGATTTGAGAGGTTAGAACAAATTAGTACCAATTTTTGTCAGTCTATTTTAGTAGGGGAACCCTCCCAACCAAAAAAGAAACGGGTGAGAAAAGTTGGCACCAATTGCCGGGGTTTCCTAGAAATGGGGGGAAGAGGCGAAAAGCTGCACTGCCAAAAGAACAAGAAGGGAACTTAACCCAATCTCGGTTTCTGTTGACCCCCCTGCAAACAGTTTTAAACTTTTTGGGGGTTTAGTGGAAAACCTAACTTGATTTCTACCAAAAAGTTAAAGTCTAAAGATCCAACCCAATAGCAGTCAAGCAATATGTTCCAATTTTTCAGGGAGTCTTGGGCAGGTATCCGTTTTGGACGAGGTTCTCAAAATAGAAAACCTATTGGCAGTTTGGATTGGCAATTTGGAGGTTTGGGGGGTGGCTTCCCATCTACAAGAACCAGGGTGTCAAACCCAAATCCAAAGCACGAATCCAAACCACCTACTGCTCAGTCTCCCTGGGCCCTCAAACTACACACACACACAACACCACACCATCACCCGAACCCACACCCAACCTGCCAATCCCGGCGCATGTTTTTTTTCGAGCCACCCCGATCCCTTTCCAAACAGCCCGCGTCCTTTCTCCAGGGCCTCGAAGATCTCCTCGTAGGTAAAGGTGGCAGTTTTCGTCTTCCTCTTTTTCGTCTTCTTGTCCAGGCCAGGGAATTTCAACCTGCGAAACGAAACAAAACGACGTCAGGATGTGTGCTGCCTACGTCAGGCAGGTACCATGGCTTTGTTTTATGCCAACTAACCATGTGTCAAAATAGGGAACCCCAACTTGTGGCGTTCCTTTCGGTGTCTTGTCTTACCTATACAAGGGTACGTACCATCAAGCAAACAAACATTGAATCATCAAACAATCCAACAAACAAACAAACAAACACAAACAAACAAACTAACCAACAAGCAAACAAACCAACCAACAAACAAACAAGCACACACACACACACACACACACACACACACACACACACACCCACGCACGCACGCACGCACGCACGCACGCACGCACGCACGCACGCACGCACGCACGCACGCACGCACGCACGCACGCACGCACGCACGCACGCACGCACGCACGCACGCACGCACGCACGCACGCACGCACGCACGCACGCACGCACGCACGCACGCACGCACGCACGCACGCACGCACGCACGCACGCACGCACGCACGCACGCACGCACGCACGCACGCACGCACGCACGCACGCACGCACGCCGCGCGACGCGCGCGCACGCGCGCGCACGCGCACACGCACACGCACACGCACACGCACACGCACACGCACACGCACGCACACGCACACGCACACGCACACGCACACGCACACGCACACGCACAGGCACACGCACACCCACACACACACACACAGGCACGCACGCACGCACAACACAACACAACACAACACAACACAACACAACACAACACAACACACCACACACACACAAACACACACAAACAAACAAACAAACAAACAAACACGCACGCACGCACGCACGCACGCACGCCCGCACCCGCACCCGCACCCGCACCCGCACCCGCACCCGCACCCGCACCCGCACCCGCACCCGCACCCGCACCCGCACCCGCACCCGCACCCGCACCCGCACCCGCACCCGCACCCGCACGCACGCACCCGCACGCACGCACGCACGCACGCACTCGCACGCACTCGCACGCACGCACGCACGCACGCACGCACGCACGCACGCACGCACCCACACACACACACACACACACATGCACCATATTATCACCAGGGCGCAGGAGGTTCCATGCTGCGGTCTCCCCGTTGTGTTCCTGGCGGCAGGGAGCTGTTTTCTTTCGAAGTCATGGCTCGTTGCCACGAACCCGACAAAACCGCAACCCAACAGTCATCCTGGACCCTCAAACTATCCATCAAGAAGGAAACTCACCCCGAAATTTTGGGGCTGCAATCCATGTTTAAGGGAATGTCGCAGGTTAGGATGATCAAAGCCTGGTTCACAGGTCCCAAGCGAGCCAAAAAAAAAAGAACGGGCGGAGGTCAGTAGCTGCTGCACCACTTGGGACTTGGGATGGATCAACACTCCCTGGACTCTCAACCTACCCTACCAGAAGGGTTTTGGCCTTAAAATTCAGGGGTGAATTTCGCCGTTTTCAGGCAGTGAAAGAGGGTTCAGGCATACATGCTGGGCCACACCAACTTGTGTGTGTTTCTTGTTGGGCTTTTCGTCCACTGGATGGTGCTTCACTTGCCCCCGAAGAAACTCCACTTGGGGCCTTTTGGACACCCTGAAACCATCCCAGAGAAGCGCCGTCCATGGCGAAGCACCGAGTCGAGGACCTGCTATGTTCGATGCGCCAAGTTAGGCGTTCGTCACCTGGGTTGTAAGCCACTGGGTGAAGTCCATTCTAGGTCCTCCAGTAGAGAGGATAGAATAAGGGTACCAACCTTTTCTATTCTAGTAGGGACACCCTCCCCAAAGAAACGGTAAGAGGGCACTGCTGGGGGACCTAGGCTTGTAAGTGGGATATAAGATGATGTCCAACTACCTGGAGTCTTCGTGAGCTCTAGGAAACGTAGAAAAAGGGGTCAGCCCCCATGATTTCTCGGTGACAAACCATTTCTTAAGGGTCAGAAGGAGACTCCAGGTACTTCTCAGTTGTTCAGTGACCCTGGAAAAAGAAGGGAACCCTTTTTGGGGAAGACCATTTTTTGTGGGGGCACCAACAAAAAAAGGGAAAATAATTGGTGCCACCGAACAACTGAGACTTGCGAACTTCGCCGAAGACCCACCTGACACCTGCAGAGGAAACTCGCGGCCGCCACGTGAACGGAACCAAAAGCCAACCCCCAACCCCCTGGGCCCCAAATAACCAAATATGGTTTAAGGGAATTATTGATCTTGGCACGAAACAAAAGATCTAGGGGTTGATTCCAACCATTCCTTTTCAACCATCGTTCTTTTCAAAAACCGGATCCGTTTCCTGCAGTGGTTTTTGGTGGGTTTTCTAGAAAGATCCGCATCCCTGGAAAGAATGGGCAAGGTACCCTACAATGCCCAAAACCACCAACAACCACCAAAAACCCTGGGAAAGCATCTTCGGGTTTTGAAAAGACGATGGTTGAAAAGAATGGAAATGGAAAAGCCACCCTCAGAAACGAAGCAGCAATCTCAGAAAGGCCCTTAGGTTCGAATGCTTGGGTTCCCCAAAGTACCGGGGAACCATTCCTCCATTTCTCCCATTTGGTTAGGGGAAAAGATGAGAAAATATGTCCAAGTAGTGATGAATTCCTTTTTGAAACCAACAAGGGAAATACCAAATATTCTTAAGCAAATGGAGGATTTGCCGAAGTCCCCTGGAGAAAAAACAAACTGTAGTGATCAATTCCCCTTAGAGCAGAGGGGAAATAAAGCAATATCCTTAGGCAAATGGAAGCAGGTCCCACTATTTGAAACTACCCCCAAAGTGCCTTAAACCCAGGGCTGGCTCATGTACCTCACAATCTCAGTTGTTCAGTGACCCTGGAAAAAACGGGAACCCTTTATGGGGAAGGCCATTTTTAGTGGGGCCACCAAAAACAAGGATGAGAAAAAATCCTGGGTTTATGTCTATTTGCAGGTGGTCCAAACCCCCTGCTAGTGACTAACTTTTGGTCAAAGTTTGAAACCCAACCACCAAACCAACTGACAGTCAAAGCTAAGGAACTCGGTTGGCTGGAGACCTGGAACCCATGGGAAGCAACTATTTCTTGGTTGCAGGGGAAATGGATTCATCCCAAGCTTAGGGTGGTGCGCAATGGATGGATTTCGCAACCATCCACAGTATCACCCCCTCCACCCCAAAATTTCTGTGGTTTCTCCATTTACCCATGCCATGGCCCACCCCACAAAATGGAGGGATTTAAATCCCTCCCAAACCTCGGAGGTGCCTTGTGCAGCCACTTGTCCGGCACGTTCTTGTCGAGCTTGGGGCGGACAAACTCCGTCTTCCCGCCTGCTGCTTCGCAGCAAAAAACACAATCTCCCCGACGAAACTGCGCGCATGCGATATGGGAGACACAAATCGAAAACCGATCGGAACGTGCAATGGCTAGGTCCCAGTAGAGAGGTTAGACTAAGGGGTACCATTTCTTTTCTGTGGTCTATTTCAGTATAGGGGAACCCTCCTCGAAAACCGATCAGTCATGTTGACCCAGGATTCAGAAACTCCAGTCCCAGTATTAGGGGGGTGTTCCAGTCTGAATCCCCACTAATTCATCAACCAGGGGTTTATTAACCCGGGGTTAACAATAGATAAATGGCGGCTTCAAAACCACCTGGAAATAAATGCTAGATGTCACGAAACATGGTGTGATTGATACTTTGAGGCAGACCTAAGACCCCTAGTTTGGATGCAAAAAAAAGACACCTGGAATCAGAAAGGGACTTCACCCCACCATGTCACCATGTTGATGGCAATGTTGAGGGTTCAGGCACGCCCATAAAAGCCACTAAAGCCAGTACAAAAAGAGTCTTTGCCCCGATTTCCCGAGGGGAGGCCATCGAATTGTTCAGGGCTCTAGCGGTACTCAACGCGGCCACGACTTTTAGTGGACTTCCATGGGAATTCAAGGGCACTTCTCTTTTGGCACTTGGGTGTCCGGCGAAACTTTGGCAAGTTGCAACGGCAACCTAGGCTTATTTATAACCCATAAACAAAAAAAGGAAACCTTCTGAACTGGGGTCCCAGTCGGTGGGGTTACATCCCAAATGGCGAATCAAAGACTTTCCGCGAATCGAAGATCCGGACACTTCTGGAGGTTTTAGGGAGGCTCCGACCTCTCGGTAAGGAGGCAAAAAAGACGACTGAGCTGGGCACTGAGTGTCGGCGAGTAAGCCTGGCCTCTTCTCAGAACGAACCGTTTAAGTACCTGGACCCTCAAAATGATTCTAAACATGTGTTATTGCAACCCAAAAAACTGTGGTGTGAATTCACTTTTGTATGGGCAGTTTGAGAGTCCAGGTATGAAGTTTGCCCTCCCTCCAAGCATCATAGCAGCTATGGGGGTTGTGGAAGAGTACTCTTCATTTGACGTTCTCCCCTGTCCACTTCCTGATTGTTGAAACGTCCAACAGTGGCAGTTTCAATGGACACCGCCAGCGACACTTGCAACCTTTGAAAAAGGGAATCCAGTGACCCCTGAAAGAGGGCAAGAGAACAAAAAAAACGACCACCAGAAACCGATAGGACATGGAAAGATCGCATCCCGTCATCCTCAACCCTTCTGGGGAACCTTTAGACATTCGACGGGTCGTCTCCTTCCCTGTAGTGGACATTTACATGAGTCACAATCAACAACTGGTACTGAGATGGTACCAATGCAAAGAACTACCTAGAGTCTCCATGACCCTTAAAAAGTGGGTCCATGACCCCTTAATTTGGGGTAATGACCCCATTTTTATAAGGGTCATGGAGACTCCAGCTACACAAGTGGCCGCACCTAATTCCAGTTGGGACCAAATAAAAAGGGTCGTGGCAACCCATGTTTGAAGAGGTCATGGAGACTAGGTACCGTTTTTGGCTTTGGAGGGAAGCACACAGGGGAAACCACAACCACCCCATGTTGAGACACGGCAAATTTCTTGATCCAGCTCAGAAGGAGACTCCAATGTTGACCCCGGACTCAGAAACGCCGCCCCTACTCCAAATACCCCCTTCTTTCAGGGTATCATGTCGACCCTCTACTAAAAGGAGGTAATTACCATGGAAAACCAGGTCTTCCCAAACATACCCTGCAAAAAGCAGGTATTTTGGGTAGGGGGCCTGTTTATTAATATGGGGTGTCCCTGGTTTGGGGATTCATCACTTTTTGAGGGGTACACCACTAGTACTAGAATGAGTTTATAGATCTAGGGTCAACATCACAACCTTAATCCTTAACCATCAGTACTTGCACTGGAAAACCCGTGCTTTCCGAAAACAACTACCCACTAAAAGCAACGTTTGTATTTGGGGCTGACAGGGGCACTTCCATACTCGGTTGCTTTCTGCTCCCCTGCTAAAAAAATAACTTTTAGTGGTTTAGTGGAAAACCCATTAGTTGGCAAAAAGTTAAAGTCCTAACAGCCAAGCAAAATGCAGCAAAGCATAGTTTCCATGACCCTTGCTACGCTTGGCCCAGTCAGGAAGTGGTTATATAGCCTAGGTCCTCCAGTCGAGAGGTTAGACTAAGGGGTACCCATTTTTTCTCTGCCCTAAGCATCTTGGGTCCTCAAAACGGCCCTTTTTGAGGTCCAAAACCTTCCAATGGAGACCCTGACCCCTTCAATGGAGGGCCAGATGATGGTTAGGGTGTGGTCTATTTTTAGTAGGGGAACCCTCCTAGAAGGGCACTGGGGGACCTAGTCAAGAAAGCACACATACAAACATTTCCCCGTAGTTTTTTTTTTTTTTTAAAGTAGGGGAACCGCATTTCCCCCACAAAAAGAAACGGTCAAGGGCACCAATTGCTGGGGGACCTAGTAGCAAATCAAACATGACCAACGCAACACTTGCTTCGCCCACTTCAGGCCGCTGCAGTACAAGTGGGGAAAAGCCGCACAATCAGCTTTCCCTCGTACGCCCACGGGCCAAAAACGAGTGCCCTGGACAGACCTTTTTTGCCTTTGTGGGGAATATTTGTTTTAGGGCATTTTCCCAAAGAGTCCAACCTGGAAATCGCCAAATTGCCGCTTTCGCTTTTTTCAGTCACTGTTGCGATCGGTTTTTGGGGTTTTGCAAGAGTGGATGGAAAAAAGCGATTGCAACTGGCAATCCAGGAAGCTGGTTCATCCATTTGCTTATACAAATCAGTCCCCTGGAAAAAATACAAACATATGTCCAGTAGTGATAGATTCTCTTTAAGATCGACAGGGGTGAAACAACATATATTCAAATGCAAATGGAAGTGGTTGGGTTCGAAGCAAGACGAGCCACCCATGAATCTAGCGGTGGTTCACTTCCGAACAAAACCGTGCGAAGGCTGCCATATTTGAAGCTGACCGCGGGGGGGGGGGGGGGATGCGGCTCCATGGGGTAACAGGAGAAAAACCAACCTAAGCTCGTAAGCAAATGGAAGTTTCCTATTAGGGTATGGGTCAAAAGTAAACCGCCAGGATATGGACCACAGGTTTTAGTCCTTTCCATTTCCCAGCGCAGGCCATTTTGGGGTTACCCTATTTTTGACCAGCCATTTGGAGCTGACCGAAACAGGTGGCGCGCCCCAGCGACATAGGGTGCCGGGGCCCCTGCTGCTCATGGTGACGTCCACGCAGCCACGCTCAGGCTTCATCCTGTCGCACTCCACCAGCACGTCCTGGCCCCATCGACTGTTTCAGCACCGCTTCGACGACCGTTTCGCTGTGAAACCGCGCGCAGAGAAAATCGAAAACGGCAAAAAAAAACCGGGTTGGGGAGGTGGTTGTTTGTTAGTTTGTTAGTTTAGCTTGCTAGTCTGCTAGCTTGCTCGGTTTTTAGTATGTGTGAGAGCGTGTTTGCTTGCTATAGTTTGGTCAATTTGTTCGGTTTTGTGTCTCAACTTCCCGCTACTTCCCTCCCTAAACATCAGAACCTTTGGTAACAGGGCGAGAAATCATCTCAGACCCTTTAGATGTCCACCTGGAGTCTCCATGACCCTTAAAAAATGGTTGGTCAGACTACCCAAAGTAATGGGGTCATTGACTCCCACTTTTCAAGGGTCAGAAGGAGACTCCAGGCAGGGGAAAGCAAGGCCCGCATTGCTCCACCCCCACCCTAAGCATGGCCCGAAACAGGTTTTCCCATCTCCACTCTTTCAGCTTCATCCTTGTTCGGACCAGAAAAATGAGGGTCCAAGACCCCTATAAAGCCTATAAACCTTCAAGGGAATCCCTCATTTCACATCATGGCCGGTCTTTGGGGCTCAAAGGCCCTCAAAATATCAGGTCTTGGGATCCTAGGTCTAGAGGTCATTCCTTACTCAGAACCTTCAAGCAAAATTCAAAACCCGCCCTAAACCAACCCTCAACCCATCAAACCATCCCCAAACCATCCCTAAACCATCCCTAAACCATCCCTAAACCAACCAGCCGCCCAACCCTCCATTAACCCCCTGCTCCAAATACCGGGTATGATGTATGTATCCTCTACTAAAAAAGGAGATCTTTACCCATGGAAACCCCAGGTTTTGAACAAAAAATGCCTTGCTGCCTTTTTCAGTCACCGTTGCTGGTTTTTGGGGTAAAGTGCATTGAAAAGAAACTGGCGATCCAGGCACCTGGAGTCTCCTTCCGACCCTAAAAAAATGGTTAAGGTCAGACTCCCCAAAATCAAGATGCGGGGTTTATTAATCCGGGGTCAGTATATAGGGGGAACGTCAGCATCTCAGATTTCAGCGCGTGCCTTGAGCTGGATGCAGTAGGACAGCGCCACCATCTCCTCATAGGAGCTGAGGTTGGCCAGGTACCTCTCCGAGTCCGAGGTCGAACTCCGGACGTCGAACGTACCCCCCCAAAATAGGTGCCCTGGGGTTCTAATGTGTCCCCCCCCCCCCACCAAAAAAAAAATGAAATAAATGGCCCTTTTTTGTAGGAACCCAAAAGGTGAACAAAGAGTCGATTCGCTGGCAAGTGAGTTTCGCAAAATACCTTCCTTCCAATCAAAGGAAGGGCTATCGACGAGTCTTCTTGGGGAAGCCCCCGTCGTCTTACATGATTGGAGGGTAGCACCCAATCCTAAGCGTGGAACGGCCAAACAGACAAGCAAGTTCCCAGGTCCAAAACCAAAATGGAGGTCCCTAGAACCCTTTCGACGGAAATTATGATGCATGGCCTAAGATTGCCACGGCTTCTTTGAGTTTCCCTTTAGAATACAACCAAACGGGTTCACAATTTTCAGCAACTCTCTCCGGTTTCACCAAGGTAAGGGTTTCCCCTTTAACCACCCATCGGGGAAACCGCTGGTCGGGTCAGCGGACTTCCATGACAAACTTTTGTTCGTGGAAAACGTCACAACCCTTCAGGTAGCAAAAAGCTGACTCCTGGATCGCCCGTTGCAAGCGTTTTTTCCCATGCACTTTACCCCCAACACCTGCAACAGTGACTGCAAAAAGGGGCAACTTGGCTTTCTGGGCTGTTGTTTGCAGCCCCCGAATAGAAATGAACACCGCACATCAAGCGCGGAGCATAATCCACATGAAGCACGTAGCCGACTGAATGATCGCGGTTCTCGAAATCGCTGGACCGTACTTCGGTCCGCGCCCACGACTTCTCCGCCATTCTTTGATTGAAATCGTCCGTGATGGGGTCGAACCGAAAAACTGTTTGGTTGCACTGCGCTCTTCTCCGCCGCTTTCATCAGCTCCCTCTCTGCTGGGCTGCTCGTTTTCTGATTCCCTGCTAAAAGTGACTACTAACTTTTAGTGGGTGAAATGGACACCCAACCACTAAACACTAAAAGTCTAAAAAGCTAAGGGGATGGCTGGGAGCCACCAAGTCTGCCTCTGTCAATCGTGCAGAACCAACAAAAACAACTTGCCAACAACAGTGAAGGAAATGAAACCAGTGACCTGACCAAGCCTCATCTGGGCTTCTTCGTCCTTTTGTAGGATCCCCCCAAAATGGCGGATTGTCCTTTTGGTTCCCCCTAAACCACGAGAAGGGGTACACTCGAAAAAGACACTGGCTTTTTTTGATATGCCTCAAAATGGGGAACTGGTCGAAACCCCAACCTTCCCTTTGGTTTCCCTCTAAGCCCTCCCAAGAAGAAACACTAGGGTCACTTCACCCAAAATCAAGATTCGGGCCATAGCCGGCCGAATTTTTGATTCGGATCAGGAGACTCCAGGATTTGAACGTTTTCAAAGGGAAGTTCTCCAAAACAAGGAAGGGCACCACTGGACAGTGGGTCATTGGATTCCCCCAAATCAAAGGCTGATCAGTTTGCTGGGGTCCATGACAAGGTCCATTGAAACCAGAAAACCATGGAAATTGCTCGGCACTTTTTGGTTGGACATGGCTCGGTAACCCTTTCTCGGAAACTGAGTGTTTCTGGGGCCGGCTGAACCAGCCAAACCCTCCCGGAACCGTTCCCTTTAAAGCCTGCATCTCCAGTTGCTGCTTTTTGTTACATCCACTTTACCCCAAAATCCGATCGCAACAGTGACTCAAAAAAAAGACACGGCCACTTGGCTATCTAGAAGCTACATGGCTGAGCCAAACTTTGCTGAGGGTCTGGGTGCAAATTGGCCATTCGGATAGCCAACTTCTTGCGGTCCCGGTCAGGTGGCTCTACCCTTGCGCCAGTCGGAGAGCTCGTCTGTTTCTGTTTGTGAGGTCCGGACCCTCAAACTACAATCCTGGATCGCCAGTTGCGATTGCTTTTTCCCAGCAACTGTGACTGTTTTTTGGGCAAAGTGTCTGGAAAAAAGCCGGCGATCGCTTTTCTCCATCCACTTTACCCGAAAAGCCAGCAACAGTGACTGAACAAAAACAGCAACTTGGCTATCCAGGAAACCATGTTTCGTGGAATTGTGAGGGTCCAGCTAGCCTTGCTTGGGAGTTGTTTTAAAGGGAGACCACGAGGAGACCACTGATGTGGGTCCTCTCACAAGGGCAGGGCCCATTCGCCCCAGCGAGCCCTTTGGTTGGAGGCGGAGGGGCCAGATCAAACTGACCAAGACATCTGGAAGCCCAAGAGTCAAAGCCTTCCTGGGAATCAGTTCCCATTGAAACCAAGGCAACGAATATTTCACCAAAGTTCACCTAGAGATTCTCATCATCCAAATCGGGTCCCAAGGGCATTCTTTAATAATGTGCTTTGGAGCCCGGGGATTCGTAGCAGGTACCCCCACTCTGGGGCAAAACATGGGACGACCGGCTTCTTTCTGCTAGAGATTGCTATCTCAATTGGGTCCTCTTGGGCCATTCTTTCAACGAGCTGTTGCCGGGTTTGTTCATCCGCCGAACATTCAGGCACCCCCTACTCTTAACGGCCTTGGGAACCCTAAGGGCGTGGTGAATCATCACTCTTGGGGGGGAACATCCCCCTATCAATAAACTGCCTGGATCGCCAGTTGCGATCGCTAGTTGCGATCGCTTTTTTCCATCCACTTTACCCCAACAGCCAGCAACAGTGACTGAAAAAAACAGCAACTTGGGTATCCAGGTGGGGTTGATTCTAATATGTCAACATTACCCCCCCACATTCGAAACCAAAAAACAAGTCGAAGAACCGGACGCGCGAAGGACATCGGCGGCATCGGTTTTTCTTCTCGCACCTCGCCATGAGCTCGTGGGGCTGTTTGCCGAGGTTGGGGTCGCACAGCGGGTGGCCTGGCGCGAGACTCGCGCGAGGACCCCAAAAGGTGCCGAAAAGGGACCCGCAAATGTCTTAAACATCGGCTAAAAACCTCAATTGAGGGATTTCATTTTTTTAGGGTGGCTTGAGGAATCAGCTCGAAAAAGCGTTCCCCAAACTTCTGGTGAATCCCCTCTGTTCTCTGCGATCTTTCACCATCTTTCAGGCAGGCCCTGCGGGATGAGCGCGCGCAAACAAAGCCAAGTCTTGACGCCTATTGGGGTAAACCTAGAAAATGTCTCTTAAATACATTCCCCCCCCCCGACCGGGCATACATTATGAAAGGGGCTCCAAAGACACCCAAAACTGCCCTGGGACATCAAGAGGTGACACGACCGAAGTGTCCTTTCAGATGTCGGGGCCGAAAGTCCCCAAAAGGGAAGACCTGGATCGCCAGGTGCGTTGTCGCTTTGTTCCATGAACTCAAAACCCCCAAAACCGATCGCAACCGTGACTGAAAAAAACGAATGCGGCAACTTGGCGATCCAGGCGAACGGGAAAAGGCCACTCGCCCTTGTCCTCATTGTTAAGGAATATTCTCGCTGGGCCATCGAATTCTTCTGGTTTCTGATGTCGGGCGCGAGAGACGCGGAGGGCTTCCGCAATCTGCCGCTGGACATTTCAGGCCCCCAAACGGGGCTTCGAGACCTCGCCCCTCGGCCCATGGGCCTTCCATTGAAAGCAGAAATAGAAGGAATCCAACCACCCAGGGTTGGAGCCTCAAGTCTCCTTCTGACCCAAATGCAAAAAATGGGGGTCTTTTCTGCCCAAAAAATCGGGGTCATGGCCTGATTTTTGAAGAGTCATGGAGACTCCAGGTAGCTATTTTCTTGAAATGAACACAAACACACGGCCACTTTCATAGAGCTGAAGCCTGACACCCATAAAAGTGGGCCAAAACTGCGGGGGGAGTTCCCTTTACAACCCTCCCCAAAAAGAACCCTTCCCCAAAAGGAACCCTCAACTACCCCTAAGGTTCCCATTTCGGCCCTCTTTAACCGCCCATGTGTTACCCCAAACACCGGGGCCCGCGGGGTATTTAAAGTCTGATCGAAAGCCCGGGGGCCTTTGGGTACATTGACACCCCACCTGGACCCACCAACCTCCAAAGATGCCTCCGAGGTCACCAACTCCATATACTTGGGAGATGGCTACAACAGATTCTCAAAAAAACAATTATGAGGGTCCGGGGAGAAAAAAAAATCGGGACCCTGAATGCATCCAACGCAAATCCGATTCATCCAAGCCTGGCTACCTGAACCCTCAAAAATTACGACTCGCAAAGCAGTTCTGCCAGTAGCAACCTCAACAAAAACATGAAGTTGGTGAATGTTCTGTTCTTTCTGAACCGTCCAGATTCCAACTTCAACATCCCGAAAATTATGGAATGGGTGAATTGACGTCTCGGTTTATGGGATTGGCTCTTTAGGAAAGCCTGTCTTGGGGGTTCCAAATCCCAATATTCACATGTTTTCTTGGTCCCCCCCCAAAAACAAAGAAGCAAGAACAGCCATCCCCCCCCCCCCCCACATTCACTTGTTTTCTTGGTCCCCGCCCCCCCCCAAAAAAAGAAAAAGGAAAAGAAGATTGACGTCTTGGCTTATGGGTTTGGCTTCCTTTCGGGTCCTTCCGGTCGATAGGCAGGTTCTTCCGGTTGCGCCTGGCACCAGCTTGAACTGCATGAAGCCTCCCACCATCACCTCGCGATCGGCTCGCCGCGTGGCTTTGCTGGATTTGTTGCTCTGGATTTGTGTGCCTGGATCGCCAGGTGCGGCTGATCGCTTCTTTTCCATCCACTCAAAACCATCAAAAAACCGATCGCAACAGTGACTGAATAAAACGAAAGCGGCAACTTGGCGATCCAGGTGGGGGGAAGGGGGAGAAGCGGCCCTCAAATTTGAGGGCCTACCAAAGAGTGGTGCTTTGCTTGAATCCAGGGATGCAAGGAAACCCTCCACTTGCTTAATTCAGTCCCCTGGGAAAAAAAAAGGAGCAAAGAAAAGTCCAGTGAAATTGAGTTCAACTCTAAAACCAACAGGGGAAAAGCCCTCAAGTGAGGGCCGCTTCAAAAAAGTTGTTCTTGGGTTCTTGAAAATCCGGCGCGGGACCACATGGCATCTCCTTCCAAAGAAGGAAACACCGGAGAAGGACTCATTGAGCTCTTCGATTTTGAAGGGATTCCAAATGGGAATCTTTTTTGTGAGTACCTCCCTTGTGGTGTTTAAAGGAAAACAAAAGGACAATTTGAGGGCGGGCGGTCCCTAAACAAACACTTGGACCCTCAGACTGCCCAGACAAAAAGGGCATTCACCCAACACTATGGGGCTATACCATGCTTGCTGGAACTTTGAGGGTTCGGGCGCACCCATAAACAATTGTTTGTTCCGGCAACTTACGGTGAGTTGCTGGATTTCCCAAGATCAACAGTTGATGAATTTACCAGCGGTTTCCCATTGAAACGATCGTAACTCGAGGTGGAACCGGAAAAAAACGCCGGCAACGGCTCGGAAACCTAAGCTTTCTCCCAGGAAGCTGGGTGTTTCTGAGGCCCGGACCAACACCCTGAAACCCAATTTGGGGCCTCGTTGCCGGAAAGGCAGGGAGTGAGAAATGGAATGACCCAACAAAACCTTCCAGGTGGCTTCCTTCAAGGGGAGTGCCTAGAAATCGCCAAGTTGCTTGATCGCCTTCTTCAGTCGCTGTTGCGATCGGTTTTTGGGCTAAAGTGCACGAACATAGGGGAAAAAATAAGAAGAAAAAAAACGAAAACGCCCCTGGCGATCCAGGATCCCTGATTTATTTTCCCCACATTCCAACTATCGCAGCAACTCGTGACCCTTTAAAACTGGGCCCATGACCCCCATTCTTTTTTGGGGGGGAGGTAATGACCAACCATTTTTGAAAGCTCAGAAGGAGACTCCACCTGGAAATCGCCAAGTTGCTTGATCCCCTTTTTCAGTCACTGTTGCGATCGGTTTTTGGATGGTTTTGAGTGCATGGAGAAAAGCGGAAAAAAAGCCGCACCTGGCGATCCAGGCCCTCCCCAAACCACCAACCAAGGACGATTTCTGGGCCCATCGACTCCATAGCTTCTAGCAGGAAGCCACGCCCGCGGGACCCGCCGCCCGGCGATTTTTTTTCTTCGCCTCGGCGATCTGAGAGCCCCGGCGGCCGGATCCTCAGACCCAGCCAGGTCCACCGTGGTGATGGGCGCCACGATGCCTCGGCTCGGCTCGGCTCGGCTCGGCTCGGCGGCGGGTTTGGGAGGTACCCCCCGGGAAGCTCCAAAGACCCGGCCGTTCTTTGGGGCATGATGTTGACCCTCTAATTACTAAACAAAGGGATCGGTATTTGCCATGGAAACCCAGGTTTTTCGAGAAGAAAACAAATAAGAAGAAAAAAAAGTGGGTATTTGGAGTAGGGGGTCTGGGACCCGCTAGAGAACGAATCCCATAAACAATTCCGTCATTTTGGGTTGCAGCAACCCAGTTGGATGAGAACGACCTGAACCCGAACGAACCAATCCCAGAAAAAAGTGAAGGAATTCACCCGATTCTGTCATGTTGGGTTGCACTTTAACCCATTAAGTTGGAGTTTTGAGGGTTTAGGTACTGTCTTGGATTCTGCCAAAATAGTACCCTGCCTGGGATTCAGGCAGGCCACCATTAAAACAATGAGCCGGGGTTCATACAACTCACCACCATGATTTCTTAAAGATTGTCATCTAGGTCCTCCAGTAGAGAGTTTAGAGTAAGTATTGTAATTGTGTGTCGTCGAACTCACCTGTTGGCTTGATGGAAACACCATTTGAGTGGATCTTTTTGTCCCCCCCCCCCCCCCGAGCTTTCATTCGCAGATGCCAGTGAACCAAGCACAAAGCTTGCACACATTTCCAGGGGTTCCTTTCCCTCGACCATTTCATTCGGAAAGGTTTTTGTCTGGTTCCAAAACGTCTCTCTGGTTTGGTACCTCCCTCAAACGACCCGCAGGGAAATTCACCCCAAAATGAGTGGGCCAGAACCCAATAAAGGAGCAATAAGACCGGAACGGTTCGAGGAATTCTTCCCCCCCCCCCCGGCTCCCCCTCCCCCCAAAGGCCCTTGGCACCACCAACCCAACCCCTTGGACTGTCCAGGTACCGTTCTCCTCGCCTGGCGCGTGCAGGCTTGTCCCGTAACGCTGGCTTTTCTTTTGGAGCCCCAAAAGGGCCCCAGCCGGTTCCTTCCCAACAGCGACCTTGAGTCTCCGAAATACCTGGACCCTTCTGACCGGAAGCAATGGGTTGATTTTCTTCGAACCCCATTTTAGGGGCAGACTCCAGGTACGCATCACGGGTGGTTGGTGGGTTCCCTTGGAGGCTTGCCTGGATGGGCCATGCTAAGTGGCTAGCTATATGGGATGTAACCCACCGACTCAGTTCACCCCACTCACTTAAGGAGGCTGAAAACGTGGGTTGTAAACGAGCGGTTGCCGTTAGAACTTGCTCAGGCTCAGGCTTCGCGTAGCATTGAGGTTGCTTTAGGCGCGAAGTCAGGTGGATTTAGGGTGGATTTAGGGCGAGGGACTTTGCGGGGGACGTAAGCCACGAAAATCGAGCCGGGGAGCAACCCCAGGGCATTTAATTTGTCAGTCACAAAGTCCGAAAGTCCGATCGAAAGTCCGATCCAAAGTCCGATCGAAAGTCCCAAACACACCAACAAACACACCAACCTAGATCGCCAAGTTGCTGCTTTTCTTCATGCACTTTACCCCAAAAAATAGCAACAGTGACTGAAAAAAGCGATCGCAGCTTGGCTATCTGGGAACAATCCATTAATCAATGTCCGGATCGAAATTCCGAACGTCGGGATCGAATTCGGGGTCGCCTTCCTTTGGCTTGAAGACGATGTTGGTGAGCACTACCAAAGTGCCGCGGGAGCTCTTGGGGTTGTTCACCGTGCCACCTCAAAGGCGGAAAAGGCAAAGGCGGAGTCGGAGTCGGAGTCCGCGCGACACCGCGCGGAACCGCTTGAACGCGGACAGGCGGCGGAAAAGGCGGAGGAAATCCCCCGGAGGTCCAGACCGTCGGAGGTATTACTTATTCCCCACCTAACAATGAAAGGCCACTAGGGCCTTTAAAAACCTCATATATGACATGCCTGGAGCCTCCAAATTCCCCTCCAACATGGCTAGAAAGCCCCAACATGTTGGGGTGAAATCCCAGTTTCAAGGGAGTCTGAGGGTCCACCTAGATAGCCAAGTTGCTCTTTTTCGCTTTTTTTCAGTCACTGTTGCGATCGGTTTTTGGATGGTTTGGAGTGCATTGAAATGAAAAAAGCGAAAACGCACCTGGCGATCCAGGCAGGTGGTTTTCTCAGACCCGCTGGCTTCCTTCAAGGCGTCCAGTTGCATCAGGCGGCGGATGTGGGCAATGGGCTCGCCCCCCGCCGCGAACTTCTGCTCGTCCACGCGGATGTCCTGCGGAGAGGGAGCCCATGGGGAGGGGAGGGTGGATCAGCCTGAGCCAAGGATTCCACTGCTCGGTTGCTGTTGATCCCCCTGCAAAAAGTTTAACTGTTTGGGGGGGTTAGTGGAAAACCCAACTTGATTTCCCAAAAAGTTAAAGTCTAAAGATCCAACCCAATAGCAGTTAAGACTGATGCCAGGTCTAGACTACCGAATCCCAAGCATAAGTTTGTGTTGCTATAACCCATGCTTAAGTTGGAACTTTGAGATAGGTAAGCGAGGGCTTGCCACACTAAGAGCATAGTTGGCTACCTATCTTCGATCCGCCAACTTAGTAAAACTCCACCTGCGTGAGAAAGCCCACGAATGATTGGGTTCACTCAACTTACTTCAGGCTGTTTTAAATATTATTATTTTTGTTTCGTGGGTTATAACCTTGGTTGCCAACAGTTTCCGCATCTGGCCAAGGCCTTGCGGGGTTAACAAGGGATAGCCCCAGGCCACGCTTTTTTGACGATGACGAAGATCCAAGCGCATAGGTCTCCTTTTAGGGGAAATAGCTGGATATCCCTGGTAGATGAGAAAAAACCACGAGGTAAACCAGGAATCGCCATCTATTTTTCTAGCAAAACAACGAACAAGGACACCTATGATGTCCACCTGCACTGTCAAACAGGGTATCATTTTTTTTCTGTAGTCTATCTTAGGGGAACCCTCCCCCAAGAAAGACACGGGAGAGAAGGGCACCAATTGTTGGGCAGGGATCCTTACAATATACACCTGAACATTGCCTTGCAAACGGTGGCTTTCCTTTATTTTGGTGGATGGGCAAAATGTGTATCTTTTAAGGAGCCCTGTCTATTTTTCTAGCAACACAACAAAAAAGGACACCTATGCAACCTCCCCTTACAAAAGGGAGCTCATAATTTTGGGTTGCAACTCCAGCTTGCCCTCCCAACGAAAAAAGGGGAGAGAAGGGCCCCAATTGCTGGGGGACCGGATGATCCTTCAGCCTTTTCACGCAAAATTTGTATCTTTTGAGGAGCCCTGTTGATGTTTGTTTGTTTTCTTGGGGCAGGAGGGGAGAGGGGGGAGAGGGGGGAGAGGGCAAGGGGGGGAAGGGAGAAGCGGCCCGGCCTACAAAGGGCACCAATTGCTGGGGGACCTGGAAAGCAACATGTTTCAACTGGTTGCAAAATGTCATCTTTTAAGGAGCTATAGTCCTTTTTTTCTTGGTTGCTGTTGACCCCCCTGCAAAAAGTTTAACTTTTTGGGAGTTTAGTGGAAAACACCTTTATTTCCAAAAAAGTTAGAGTCTAAAGATCCAACGCAGTCAAGTTTAGGGGTTAAGAAGGGCACCAATTGCTGGACCTTGATCCTTCACAGCCCGCGCCTCGATGGTGGTGAGCACATCCTTCAGCTGGTCGTGCCAGGCCACGTTGCCCGCCAGCGAGGGCGGCACCGTCTCCTCGCGAGGAGACCGTTTCGCTTACCCCGGTTAACTTGCCAAATACCCGGCCTTTTTCAGTTGGTACTTTTTGGGAAAACCTGGGTTTCCATGGTAGATACCAATCCCATTTTTGAGTACCCTATGCTTCCAATGCCTATTTAAAAAATAGTCGTTGTGACAACCCCGGTTTTTTTGATAAAGACTATTTTTTGATGACGAGGGGCAGCCTCCGTTTTGGACTGGACCAAGGGTTAGGAAACACTTGACGCCAAGGCCGCTGCATAGGATCCCAAAGCCGAATATGTATTTTCACGTACAGCAATATGAGCTACAATCTTCAAGGCTAATGTTGGCTTCTATGTTGCTTGGTTTCTTAACATGGCCATGCAGCGCGTGAGAGGTGAACCCTCTTCTGACCGTTTCTGTCCTTCTTTTGCCCCACCTTCTTAGCCAAACCAAAAACAACGGGACAGCAAAAATATCTGCCCATCACAGCAACCTTTCCAGGATGAGAATGTTGATCTTTTGGGTTCCCTTGCAAAAGTTGCCCGTTCTACGCCAAAAAATCGTGGTTCTATGCCAAAAAATAGTAGTTCTACGCCAGCAAATGGTGTTTCTACGGTTTTTCTACGCTTTGTCTACGGTTTGTCTACGCTCACGTCGTTTTTGGAGCTGAGTGAAAATTGGAACGGAAGAACCAAGCGCAAAATTGCTTGTTGTTCGTGCCACCTGCGCAAATTGCAGAGGAAAATTCTAGAATTTGCTAGAATGAAGGCTCCGTCTACGCAAGACTTTCAGCAGGTGCATTGCGCAAACACGAAAGGGCCCCGATGACCCTATCAATAAACAGTAATCTACTGGCTCCCAAGGCTACTTAAGAGGTTGCAATAGCAGAGTTGTTTTCGATGAAAACACAGTAACAACCCAAAATGGACCCAAAGGCCAATGTCAAAAAATAGGGGTTGTCAATGCAAAAAATAGGGGTTGAACAACCCCTATTTAAAAAATAGTCGAGGAAGCATAGGGAGTAGAGGGTCGACATGATACCCTGAAAAAAAAGAGGGTATTTGGAGTAGGGGGTAGACCGAGACGTCCCCTGGGGAAAAACAAAACACAGATTTGTCCAGTGCCGGATTTTCTGTTGAAAAACCGGAGAAAAAACAGATCCCCTTGAAACCCGGAAAAACCTGGAGAAACAAAAAAAACACGCAACCCGGAAAAAAACCTGGGGAACAAACACGCAAATACTTCCAGTGATAGATTCCCTTTCAAAACAAACCCGGGAAAGTAAAGCATATTCTTAAGCAAATTTAAGTATAGGGTCCAATTGCCTCACTTCCGATAGAGCGCCTGAACCCTCAAACTACCCATAAAAAGGGGATTTCACCAACCATAATTTTGGTGCTACAACCCATTTGTAAGTTGGTATTTTGAGGGGTCAGGAACCCTTTCGGTGGCGCTTTTCCCCGGTAAAAAACGGGGGGAAAACCGAAATCCATGTTTTTTTTGACACCCAACGGGCTCCCAACTACTCCCTGGAACTTCGAACAGAGGATATTTGAGGGTGTTGGGGTGTCCCTAAGGGGTCGGACCCTCCCTGGAAGCGTCCATGAGCGTCGATGTGAGAAAAGGAACGAAGTCTCACATTCCAGTGCGAGAATTTGGGCAAATTCTATCTGCCCATGGGTGAGTCCAAAAAACTGCCCGAACCCTCAAACTTCCAACTTCAGCCTGGGTTGTAGAAGGTCTTGAGGATTCCATAAGCAAGCCACTTCTTCTGGGGATCGAGATGCCCCCTCCCCCCTGCGCCCAACCCCGGCGCCTCCCAGACAAATCAACGAAGGCGATCTTAGGTGGGTTGGAGTGATTGGAAGCTGATCCGTTTCAAGCTACCCGTACAGAAGGGGATACCCATACAAAAAAAGAATCGCCCACCCTAAGGGTCATGACCCCTGCAATGCAGACCCCATAAGGGACCCTCCACTGGAGAACCCATAGCGACCAATTCCTCAAGGGGCCCAAAATCAAACAGGACCCTCAGGGAACCCTACCTTTTAGGACCATGACCCATGTTCAAGTTGCAATTGTGGCGGAAGATCCAAGCCAACAGCAGCTCTTAGCTTCCAGTTCCTATACTAGGCCTTCGGGATCCTTACCTCTCTGTTGTACCATAGTTTGTCTTTCTTACCTCTGGTCCCTAGGGTTCAACGCCATGAAAAAACACGGTTGACCCAACTTAGAACAATCAGGTGAGCAGCAGTCGTGATATGAAACTCCTTTTTGCTGGTGGCATCTGCATCCCATCGGCAAAACGCCAGGGGAAAAAGCTTCAAAATTAAATTAATACTAAACCAACAAAAACAGGTGGGGAAAAAACCAACAAAGAAAGAAACAGTGAGTTGGTGGACGTGACGAGCCCTTCTCGTGGCAGAGGTGAGTCCGATGAGTCCTTGATGGAGAAGGTGAACTCCGGCGTCGACAGCGCCGCCTTCAGCGCGTCCATGTCCAAGTTGTCGTGAGCTCGGTCCGCAGGGCGGTGGAAGGCGGCTGGGTGGCGCTGGGTGGCGCTGGGTGGCGCCGGGGGATTGCATTCGTGGACCAATGGGCGACCAGGTCACCTGGTGAATTGGGGACTTTGAGGGTCCGAGTGGCTTTCTCTTGGATCCCCCCCAAGACAAAAAGAAAGACATATTACATTATAATATGTGTATATATATATATATACATGTTCTTCGTGTTGATTGCCCTTTGAAATCCCAGAAACAATGGACCCTCCAAAAATAAAAGAGACACCCACAAAAAAAATGGGTCCCCACATGCGCATCGAAATGGGTTTCGATGTGATCTCCTTGTTTTGTGTTGGGATGCACAGCCTCCGCTGGTAGCCTAAAGCTAGCCAGTGGCGAGTCAACCCAGGGCTAAGACATCTAAGTGGATGGACGGAAATCACCATCTTTATGCGCGTGCCTTTTTTTGGGGGGACCCCCAACATGAGAACAGTTTCCTTTGGGTTTCCCCACGCCTTTTTGGTTCCCACGGCCGATCGAGCGGGTTTCATCGGGCCCTATTCTTTTTTCCGCCTAAGGGTCATGACGGGACCCGGGAAATTTGGGGCCCTCCAATGAAGAACCCCGAGCCCTCAAAAACTCTCAAAAACAACCCATGAGGGCCCAAAATCCATCGAGACCCTTAGGGCTCTTAGTATCCCTCTTTTTACGCTCGTCTCTAGTTTTCCGTTCTTAGTTTGAACACGTCCTTTTGAGGCTCCCTGTTTGAGGGCCGTGCGCTTTTGTTCGTGCCTCTAGGGTTCCAATCTTCCACGAGAAGCCCCCGGGAACAAATGAGAAAATCTTTCCAGTAGTGATTTAGACTCCCTTTAAAACCAACAAATAATAATATATATACATATATATATATATGAAAAAAAAGACTCATTTCAGCCAGTGGAAGCCATTCTTTTGGTCCGCACCGTCACCCTTTTTTTCAGGCTCCGGAAGCTTCGCCTCTTGGTGCACTCCCACAGTTGAAGGGTCCGATCGAGCGGGGTACCAATCCAGGCGGCTCGAAGGACCCGACCCGAGATCTTTCGGGACGAAACGTGGGCGCCAAAGTCTGGTGAATCAGATCTCGAGGGGTTTGTTGGGTACCTGGAGTCTCCTTCTGGCCCGAATCAAATGGGAGTCAATGACCCGAATCTTCATTTTGGGCAGTCTGACCCCAGGTATGTACTTCCAACCTTATATGATCTTTAAAAGTCTCTTAAAAATGGGTGAATGACCCCTTCATTTTCGGCTTAACCATTTTTCAAGGCTCAGAAGGAGACTCCAGGTACTTCCGACATTTTGTTTCTTCCTTTGTCGACTAAAACTGAAAAAATGGGGCCCACAGACTGGAGACTTAGCCCCAGCTCCAACTACCCGGCCTTTCTTTTGGGTGTGATGTCGACCCTCTACTAAAAAAGGAAGTATTTGCCGCGGAAAGCCGTGCTTTTTCTTGTGTTTGTTTTCATTGTTCTTCATAAAATACCCTGAGAAAAGAGGGCATTTCAAGTAAGGGGTACAACTTACAACCATGACCTTCTTTCTTTCCGAAGGCTCCGAATCCGCTTCGGCTCATGGAAACTCAGCATTGGCTGCTTGCGGGCAATCAAACGGGATTGTGTGATGGCTTAGCTGCGAAGAGCTTAACTTTTCGTGAAGCTCAAATCCTAGAAAATGCCTGCGAACCACCAAAATAGGGTTCAGCAAAATGCCTGGGAACCACCAAAGCTACGTCCAGAAACGTGGGAACCGATTCGGTGTTCCTAAACCCTCAAATAATTAAACAAAAGTTGGAATGCACCAACCATACCCCCGTAATCTCCAAAACCCAACGCTATTTTTAGTCGGTATGTTTTGGACAACCGAGCGGTTTTCCAAGGCAGATACGGATCATTTTTTAGTCAAGGATAACATCACACCCAATCAGATGAGCATCAGATTTCGGGCCCTCCATTGTTTGTTTTTCCGGCCTTTTGGGGTCAACCACACATCTGATCTCTTTTCAGAACCCCCAAAAACAAAAAAAACATGAAAATCCCTTACCGTCCAAAAAACAACACGCCGCCGAGAGTTCCTCAAAACTTCAAGGCGCCGGGGAGAGTTCCTCGAAAATTCAAGGCGCCGGGTTGACAAAACGACACCTAGGTCCTCCAGTAGAGAGGTTAGACTAGGGACCCTTTTTTTCTGTAGTCCATTTTAGGGGAACCCCTCCTAGAAGGGCACAACTGCGCCGGCGTTCATGTGACATGTTCCGCGAGAGGTTAGAATAAGGGTACCAACTCTTTCCCCAAGTCTATTTGAGCAGGGGAACCCTCCCAACCAAAAAAGAAACAGTGAGAGCTCGGGCACCAATTGCTGGGGGACCTAGACACAAAACCCACCCCCCGATTTCGCTCGCGATTTCGTGAGCCAGCGGCCGTCCATGAAGGCCTCGGCGCCGCCCAGGAAGTTGGTCACCTGACGCTGGTCAAAACACGAGGTGTTCCGAAAAACACGAAATGGGGCAACATGTTCCAACACGAGGAAAATTTGGGCCACATCCACCACCTTCACCGAAAAGGTGAGGCGATTCAAAACACGTGGCAAATGTTGGCAACATCCACACGAATGACCAATGGGGCAAACGAGGCAAATGGAACAAATGGGGCAAGTGTTCCTGACATGCCCCTTCGAAAGCCAAACGGTTTTCTGGGCAGAGGTGGATGCAACAACGAGGCAGGGTGGTGAAGCGAAAACCAACACCAAAACAAGGAAAGTCTTGGTTGACGTTGGAAGGGGAGCAAAAATCTATTTTTTAGCAGGTAAGTGGAGATTTCCCACTAAACAACAATAAGCAAAAATGTAAAATGCTTCCCAACGACAACCATGTAGCGGCTTCGAAGCGGTGAAGCCTCAAAAACATACCACCTGGATCGCCAGTTGCTATCGCTTTTTGTCCATCCACTTTTCCCCAAACACCGATCGCAACAGTGACTGAAAAAAGCGAAAGCGGCAACTTGGCGATTTCTAGGCAACTTGAACATGGGTTGTTGCAACTCCCAAAAAAAAGGAAGTGGTGCTCGATGGCCCTCTTTTGGTTCTTTGGCTGGTTTCAGGGTCCCATCGGCACCTCTATTCTCGCATCGTGGATGGGATCAAAAACTGTCCGATCCTGAACACACTCAGCCTTTGAATCTCTAGATCCGGAAACACAGGGACGCTCCGCGCTTGGAAGATAGACGCCACGGTTTTTTGGGATATCACCAACCATAACTTTGGGCTGCTATGACCTAGGCCCTCCAGTAGAGAGGTTCGAACAAGGGTAGCAACTTTCTTCTGTAGTCTATTTAACGGGAACCCTCCCAACCAAAAAAGTTGGTAAAAGGGCACCTAGTTGGGGGACCTTGCTATAACGACGTGTTTTCAGCAGGGGGTTTTGAGGGAGTTTGGGCAGTTGCTTTTCTCCGAAGCGGGCCATCCCTGCTTTTTTCTTTTTTCTTCACCGAGGGATTTCTAAAACCTGAGCTTTCCCACCCTAGGGGTCACCTCTAATGGAGAACCCCGACTTCTCAGGGGCCCTTAAAAACAACTCTTTTTAAGAACCCAACAACAGTCGGGTTCCCTGCAATGCCTAAAGCCCGCGAACAAAACATCAAAGGTCAAAGGATAGACGATGGGTGAAATTCAATGGAGGACCCTTCGGTGAGCATCATTCAGGGATTCATGTCCAGCAACCACTTTTGAGCTGATTCCCGAAAGCAGATTAAAACAAAGGCCGAATCATGACTTTCGCCAACTCGCAAGGAGAGCTGGAGACTAGTGACTAAGGGGCCAAAGAGCATTTGTGCGTGTCTTAAAATAGGAATCGGACCACCGTGGCTTCAGTCTTCCCTTTGGTTTTCCTGTAACCCTGAGAAGATAGGGTACCCTTAAATAGCGCTCTTTCAATCCGCAAACAACAGATTTGACACCCTCAACAAATGCACAACCTGGACCCTCAACATTCCCAATTCTAGCAAAATGGTTCTACCTGGAGTCGCCTTCCTTTCCTTAAAAATAACCCCAAATAAAGATTCGGGATATCGACCAACTTTTAAAGGGTAGGAAGGATAACCGATCACAACTGGGTCAACAGCGTATAACCACGGCTAAACTCCATTTCGTAGTTTGAAGATTCAAGTAGGTTGTTTGCGAGTGTTCCTGGAGTCTCCATGACCCCTAGAAAAAGGGGCCATGACCTGTAGTCTGACCCCATTTTTACAGGGTCAGAAGGAGACTCCAGGTTGTTTTCGTTCACATCCAAGCCGCCACATCCAAGGTTCCAGAGGTTGATTCCCCATTCTTTGCAATCAGCGTTATTTTCACCGTTTTCCATGGGTTTCTGGAGGTTTTCTGGAAAGAAGGATCCCTGGAGAGAATGGAAATGGAAGGTACCCCTAGAAAGGTCTTTGTTTTTTTCTGGTAGTTTGAGAGTCCAGGAAGCCCATTAGGGAGTCCTCCTCCTTTCCATGCAAAGAGCGGCCCCCGGCCTGAGGTATCTTGGACCCCCTCCCCAAAACGTACAAGCGGGCCATAACCAATTGGTGATCAACAACTTCACTACCTGAACCCTCAACATTCCCTCAAACATGCGTAACATCTAAAATTGAACTCCCACTTTTAAGGCTGAGGCCAGATGAGGACTCCCAGCTCTTCCCTCGCCAGTTACAAGTATTGGACAAAAGGCTTGAAGTTCCTCCCATGGGACTTTCGCAATTCCACGATTTTGGGTTGCACGTCCACTGGGCAGAACTGAGGAAACGAGGTCCAGCGATTGATTCCAACTTTAAAGCCACCCTAAGGGTCATGACTCATGACCCCTCCACCGCCAATGCAGAACCCCGACCCCTCAAAAACCCTCAAAAACAACCCATTGTGAGGGCCCAAAATCAATCGAGACCCTTAGGGCAAGGCAAAAACTCGTCCTTTCGGCACATGGAACAATGAAGGGTCCTGCGTTACCCGCTTGAAGTGGCATCAACATGATTGTTTCTTCCAACAGGACCAAGTGGGGTAGCTCCACGGGGGAACAGGACTGATGCAAACTGAAACTCCGGCTTAGGCGCCTGAACTTCAAACCGAGCCTCGAACTGCAGTTGGAGAACTTGAGGGTTCAGGTCCCCTTTTTGATGGGTAGTTCGAGGGTCCGGGCAGTGCAAGCAACTGCGCCGGCGTTCATCTGACATTTTCCGAGTAGGGGAACCCTCCCCACCAAAAAAGAAACGGTGAGAAAGGGCGCCAATTGCTGGGGGACCTAGGCAAGCAACTTCACCGGCGTTCATCTGGCTGTGGGTCAAAAAATGGTACCCCAACTGGAACCCTGGTCAAAAATAGGTACCCCAACTGGAACCCTGGTCAAAATAGGTACCCCAACTGGAACCCTAGTAAGTACCATAGAAACATGGAGCCAAAACCTGTGGTCCGATTCCTGGTGGTTTCATTTTGAACCCCCAGAGCCCAGTTTGACCTCCGCGCCTTCTCCCGGATGTTGTACCCCCAGAGCCCAGACCCGGTGTTCCTCTTCATGGTCCCGTCCTGCACGCTGACGCGCCCATAGACCTGGGGCACAGGGGCCGGAAAAGCCGAGGCCAGTCAGGTCATCCCCAAAATCCCACGGTGAACATCCGCGAAATCAGCCTACCTGGAGTCTCCTTCTGACCCTTGAAAGATGGGGTCATTGACCCATTTTTAAAGGGTCATGGAGACTCCAGGTACTCGCCAAAAGGACCCAGCCTGCTCCAAAATCCGACCAAAATATGCGGGTTCCGAAGCATACCCCGGGCGTTGCTGCCCCCACTTTCTTGTAGGTTCTTCCAGCGGGATCGATCCCCTTGAGCTGAATTCCAAATCGGGTAGTTCGCTCGGGTACATGGGACACCCAAACTTCCGACTCTCAAAGCCTGGTTCAGGCAGTTGCCATGAAAACAATGGGCCGGGGGTAGAGGACTCACCTCAACGGCTTACCCTTCAGGATTGTCCCCCTCCAAATCGGGTCCCCTTGGTTGCCATGAAATTTTTATGGGGGCAAGGACACGTAGAGGTGTTTAGCTGGCCCTGGCTTATTGGTTTCCGACAGCAGGGTTTGGACCATCCACAGCGCCCTAAGAGTCCCGATTGTTTCTGGGCTCTTAAGAAGAGAAACCCATTTCTGGGTTTTAAGGGCCCCTGAGATGTCGGGGTTCTCCATTAGAGGGTCCGGGGGTGTGCATTGGGTTTTGGGGTGACCCTTAAGGTTGTACACAGATCGACCTCCCTCTCAAACTGCACAAAAACAAAAAACAGACTTCAATTTCATACTCTTGGGGTGCATTCTTTCAAGGGCAAGGAACTTTAGGAGACAAAGGGGTCAGATTCAGCATCCATTTGCTTCAGTCTGGACAAAGGAAGAAACATAAGGATAGAGCTGGGGTAGCTGGGGGTAGTTGGCTTCTAACCAGGGTAATAGCCCACTTGCGAAGCAGGTGGAACATCCAAGTAGCTCCTTACATTGCCACTGGTCTGGGGAAAAAACTCTCAACATGGAACCCTGCGGGCACCATCTCTGCTTGAGTCACAATCAAAACCGATCGGCACAAAAATGATGAACCCAGAACCATGTACCGCAACTATTTCCGGCTGGGACTGCCCCTTACTAACCTTCATCTACCCGGGTTTTGATTGTGGCTCAGGTGTTGGGTTTATGCAAGGTTCCCCAAAAAACAGCTGAAGGGCCAACACCTGACGTTCAAAACCACCAAGAAAAGCATAAGCCCTCAACACGGCCCGATTTTTGAAACAAGACACATACAACCTCTGCCCAATAAACCCGACAGGTAAAGGCTTTGGTGGTGAAATATGAACCCAACCATTCCCCCGACACTCAATGCCAATACCTACCTTTTTTTCCGGGTATGACGTCAAGCGGTATTTACCATGGAAAACCGCTCGGTGTTACAACAACTACCCTGAAATATATTCATATATGAAACCTCAAAATGTCCAATTAAAGATGGGCTGTAGCAACCCAAAAATATGGTCGGCAAAAAATCATTCTTTTTTACGGGTAGTTCTTCCGGGTTCAGGAACCCAACCATTCATTGTTTTCGTGGTGGCAACTTCTTGGGGTCCCTGGGCACTCGGAAGGGTAACTGATTTTTTCCACGGGTTGATTCCTTGTCCATTATTTTCAATCATCGTTATTTTCAAAAACCTGCCGTTTTCCCTGGGTTTCTGGAGGTTTTCTGGAAAGAAGGATCCCTGGAAAAGAATGTGGAAGGTACCCTTTTCATCCGCATCGATCCGGCCTCAAAGATCTGGATGCGCACATCCTTAGTCGAGTCGAGTCGAGTTCAGAGACGTGCCGTGCAGCACTGGACACGGTTTCATGGCCACAAGTCTGCCGAGACCCGGAAGAACCAATCCCAGGAAGGATCAGGGAAATTCACCGAGTCCGGAATTTTGGGGCAGGCAACTCACCCCATGTTCAAGGCAGCGAAGTTTGAGGCTCGGTCCAGGTGTTTGTGGGAGGCCCTAGGTCACAAGGCTTGATTGAAACCCCAATCTGATGCTGATGTTCGAGTCGCCAAGTGGGTAAAGTGGGCGCTGGCGCCACCAAACAGATCACCCACTGAGGTGAACCCCACTTAAAGTGGGGTGCAAGGGACGCAAGATGACGCAAGCCACTGCCCAACTTGGCCGAGCGAGAACACCCAAGTGAGGATTGCGACTCCAGACCTCTGCGTCCAAAACAACTCCACTTCCTGAAGTTCCTTTCAGCCTGTCAGCTTTCTGGACCTGAGAGAACACAGCAACAACTGGAGAACTTCACAGCTTTTTGCAACCCAACAGTTTTGGGATTGGTTTGTTTTCCCCATGATAAAAGTTGGGGGGTTGAAATTCAAGGTCCACAGCATTTCACTTGGAACTTTGAGGGTCTAGCTTGTTCCTTTCTGGTTCCTACCCAGTCGCTTCGGAGGCCCGGATGGGCTTGAAAAGAAAAAGGGGGACCACCTCGAAAAAAGACCCGAAGCGAGAACCTTACACCCAAAGCATGCCGAGGTTGGGTGTTGTTTTCTCCTATGAGTTGTCTACTTGGCGCCTCAAACTGCCCTTACGGGAATTCACCAACCATAATTTTGGGGCTATGCAAACCAAAGCCAAAGCAACATTTTGGGGGTCCTCTGATTTTACCCCCTACTCCAAATACCCACTTGTTTAGGGTATTGTTTGAAAAACCTGGGTTTCCATGGTACATACCTCCTGTTTTGGTAGAGGGTCAACATCATACCCTAAAAAAAGGCCGGGTATTTGGAGTGGGGGTAAGACAAACCCACATCATTACTTGAGTCAAGAGCAGCCAGCCACGGAACACCTCCTCTTTGCCAAATATTGGGTGTCGGCCCAAAAACGTCAAGTTGCCAGCCGAACCTGCAACCAAACATGCGGTGTTGGGATGCATGTCTTTGAAGATCAAGTTGGCACCTGGTATAGGTTTCAGAAGTATGGATGCTGATATACCGCCCATACATGATCGCAAGGCAGTACGTACACTCAGATCCGCTGGGAAACTTCCTCTAAACCAGCCAAAAACAACTGAAAACCTCAGGAACCAGTCGATTCGCTGATTAAACCACCAAGATACCCCTTTTTGTTTAGCAGTATGCAACCTCCGTATACCTCCAAATCCTAGAACTGCAAATGCCAACTTGAGAAGACCCATCCTGAATTTTGGGGTGTGGAATCCCATTGCCCCATCTTGGGCATCGTTGGCGAGTAATTAACGCTGCAACCTTCTCGCCTCACTGCTTCTTCTGCATTTTTTCATACAATAATCCCAAAGCTGGGAATTGGAAATAAGAACTACCCTTCCTCCCACTAACATGGCGCTTGCGGGGAGGTACCTGGAAGATTCATTTCCTCTTGAAGGGACCGTCAGGTGCCATGTCAGTGGGAGGGAGGGTCAGAACAGAACTACCTGGATTGCCAGTTGCGATCGTTCTTTTCCATGCACTTTACCCCAAAAACCAATCGCAACTGTGACGGAAAAAAGCGACCGCAACTTGGCTATATCCCAAAGCTGGGAATTGGAAATACCTAGATAGCCAAGTTGCGATCGCTGTTCTCAGTCACTGTTGCGATCGCTTGTTGGATGGCTTTGAGTGCATATGGAACAAAAAAAGATCGCAACTGGCGATCCAGGTCTAAGAGCTGGATTCGAGTAAACCGCCTGGACCGCCCGTTGCCTCCGAATCGGTAGAAAACCGCTCGTCATACCCCCATAAGCTCCAAATACCCGGCCGTATTTTTCGGGTATGATGTTGACCCTCTACTAAAAAAGGGATCGGTGCTTACCATGGTTAAAATACACCCCAATAAAAAAAGTGGGTATTTGGAGCAGGGGGGATGATTTGGGTATGTGTCAACATAAGGATTTGACCCCCACATCGGGCAATCGCTTCAAGCAAGCCCAGCGGATCTCAGTTCCCACTAGACGAGTTCACCCTTCGCCGCGTTCCGTTCGGTCTGGTTTCCGGATCCCAAGTCACCATTGTCACCTTTCAAACAGCTCAAGAAACTCACTGATCAAAGGCTCCTGGCTTCGGCTTTCAATGGAAGACCCGACCCCTCCATTAGACACCCGGAGGGTTGGGGGTCTCAAAACCAGGTTGTTGGAAGGCCCCAAATCCATCGAATTGGAGCCTCTGGCTGGGAAGGAATCCGGCTTTGGCTGACAGGCGCCCAACCTAGCCACTCGAGCCACACCCCGAGCCGCACCCCCCAACTTCTCTGCCGGGCATCATCGATCTTTCGTGCGTTCTCCTGACCCGAGAATGCCATGTCCAGTGCTTCCAGAGCCACCATGCCCCGACCCGAAAGAACTTCCCACAAATCAGAGAAGGAATTCTCCAACCATATCTTTTCTGGGTTGCTAGAAATGTTCAGGGTTGGGGGTGCTGTATAGTTGGAAGAGCCTGGTGTTTCATGGGTAAATACCTCCTGGTTTTGTCAGGGGTTGACATCACGTACTGGTTTTGCATGGGATTGTATGGGTTGTGTGTGTGGTTGTTGTACGGTTGATTAAAGGTAATTTTACCAGGTTCTTGGTTGGACACCCGTACTTTTAGCAAGCAACGGGTTCAGAACCTGGGTTTGTTTGCACCCTGTATGTGTAAAGGTTCTTGGGGTAGAGAGTTCCCAAAAAATGCGAAACCTGGCAAGAATCCCTGATTAGCTACTATGGCAGAAGAACTGGGGGGGGGGGTTACAACCATGGACATTTCTGCGGATGCATATCTCCGTCCTATGAAGCCCCATCGTTAGTGGGGACACCCGTGCCGGGGTCGGCACTACATGGGCATTTAGCTGTCCCAGAGGCTCCTGGGGCTTTCAATGGAAGACCCCTCAACCCCTCCCCTTTGACAAGGATGAACATCATACCCCATCAAACCCTGAAAAAGTGGGTATTGGGTTTAAGGGACGTCAAACAGGTCGAACTGGACCGATCCTGTTGGTTGCCTAGTTTAGGTGCTTGTTTCCGCAAAAATAAGTTTGCTTTGCGGGCGGAGTGCCCCTTCAAGAGTGGTCGGAAATCCACTCAACCTGTTAGTCCTAAACTTCTTTTTATCAAGGGGTATTTGGAATGGGGGGTCTGTTGGTCGGTTGGTCAATTGGTGTACATGCAAAAAGCAGGCAAAAGCATCGAAAACCACGTGCCTGGCCAGAAACAGGGATCTTTTCATTATACACCTGAACATTGCAACTTGTAAATGGTGGTTTCCAACTTTATTTTGGTGTTGAAAAAGCCACATGTAACTCAAATGGATGGTTGCAAAATGGAGATCTTTTATATAAGGAGACCCTGAGAAAGAATCAATTCAACGGTGGGTTTCCGTGAGCCTCGTGGAAAACCCTATGGGAGACACACATCAAAAACCGATCGGAACGTAAAATGAGTCGCAATCAAAACCCGGTATTAAAATGGTCTACCCAGAACCATGCTTCAAGAATTCAGAAGGCGGATATCCGCAGCTATTTATGGCTGGGGTTGTCCCTTACTAACCTTCATCTACCCAGGTTTTGATTGTGGCTCACCTGGATCGCCAGTTGCGATCGCTTTTTCTTTTTCTTCCCCATGCACTTGACCATCCAAAAACCGATCGCACCAGTGGCTGAAAAGCGACCGCAACTTGGCTATCTAGGATCACTCTACGGGAATTTTGAGGGTTTCCACGGAGTCCTTTGATACGTCGCAAACTGTGGAGTTCCTTTTCCCTGCTTTTTTGGTCCTCCCAAGAGGTGAGCCCTTGCACATGGTGTCGTTGGCAAATCAAAAGCAAGCTGTTTGCAAAGGCCAAATTTCAGAACCCCCGGTGTTCGGCTCGTGCTAAGCTTGGCGGCTATGCGGAAAGAACAGAAGAGATCCTATTCTACTTGCCCTAAGCATCGTTCATGAACCCTCAAAAAGGCCCTCGAAATGAGGTCCCTTTAACCAACACCAATGGGATCGGTCCAGTTCGACCCGCAGGGTCTACCCTCTAGGGGCCGCAAACAGTTGTTGGGCTCAATGCCTCCTTCTTTAGTCAAGAATTGAGTCATAGTCAAAACCCGGTATAAAAATGGTCTACCCAGAACCAAGTAAGAAGGTGGTGCAGATGTCTATGCTTGGGATTGTCCCTCGATATCCTCCATCTACCCGGGTTTTGAGCAAGTGGCTCAGTTGACCATACCCTGGAAACGCTTGGGCCTTCTCCGAAAAAAAGGTGTTTACCATGGAAACCCCAAGTTTGTCAAAAACATAAACTAAAAAACAGGCCGGGTAGTTGGAGCTTACGGCTGGCCTCATTATTTTGCCATGATCAAAGTCACCCCCTAAGTGGTGGGTTTAAGGGAAACAACCACAGTTTCTGACTTTGATACGTCGAAATAATGTCCCAGTACGGGGGTACCCTGGCTATGTCCGCCAGTAGAGAGGTTAGAATAAGGGTACCCTCTTTTTTCGGTCGTCTATTTTAGTAGGGTTCGGAACCCTCCCAACCAAAAAAGAAACGGTCCTAAGGGCAGTGGGGGACCTGGACAACCGCCTGGGGCCTTCCTTGGGGCAGTGGATCCCGTTCCTTCAGGTACAGCGACAGCACCCCGTCGATGCCGCGGCCGCCGCCCACCGGCGCCGTGGCGTCGCCGATCCTCGCAGCGGCGCCCCTCTGCTATAGTCAGACTCCAAGAGCAATCGGTTTGTCAAGGGGGAGACACTACATACCTGAACCCTCAAAACTCCAACTTAAAAATGGGGTTGGCCCCCAAAATTATGGGGTGATATCCCATTTTTATGGGTAGTTTGAGGGTCCAGGTAACTCTATGGTACATGTTTCCAGGTTTGGGTTTCCCTGGACCCTCAAACCGAAAGGATTATGGGAGGGTTTCAGGGGAAACTATGCTCGGAGTTCTTACAAAAATTGGAGATGGCCAACCATACTCTCTTTGGGGCAAAA